CAGCGTCTGTGCGTCTTGCGTCTGTGGACTGCGTGACAGGCGTACGTAAACCACGTACCGGCGGCGCGCAGACAAGTCAGTTACGCTAGAAACGTAGGGAGATTGATTGACAGCCTGTCAGCTAACAGATAACGAGGCAGTGTCGTTATCTATTGGCAAATGTTTAGCCCCACCACGTCCAGAGTTGGTGAATTTTTATTCTCTTTTTTTTGGTCATCATAATTACAAGGCTACTGCACCTCTATAATGCTATCATTGTCAACTTGAAACAAAAAAAAAAAATCCTCCATACAACCTTTAAACCTCTCGTCAAAAACACCCGTGAACATCATCACTGAAAGAAGCAACCGGGCAAGAAAGAGCCACGCGTCGGACAGCACCAGGGCTGTAGTGAGCGTGGTACGCGAGGGCACACCGTCCACACACTGCTCCTGATGTGAGATATAAAAAAAAAAAAATTAAAACAATTGTGGTATAATTTTTGGGAGGGGCACCAAGGCCAAAATTATAAATATATATTATGAATATTTCGGTTACTAGTGGCTGAACTGTATCAGAGCACAATGAACAGCCAAGCACAAACTTTACGCAACAACACAACGTAACACGTGTCTCACACCCAGACCCAACAACAAGATAAGAGGCTCTGGTCACAACATGAACACACGGCATCAGCGCCGCTCCTACAGCGCACGACAGAACAACCGGAGCAGCTCCACCGCACCCACCAGCTCATTTACGCGCTATTTAACTATAACACTATTTTTCTGTGACGCTCCATCTTCAGATTTGCCGCAAACTAATGAAAACCAGCCTCTTAACTTCTCCAGAGACTGAAGCAGAGTGTTTCCTCTATCCACTGTCCCACTGGTTCTGTCTCCTAAAGTCTATTGTCCACTACGAAGAGATGAAACTGGTCCAAATCCCGGTCCAGTCAGGTCCGTGACGCGAGGTCCGGTAGCCGAATGCACGAGCTGGTTGAAAAACTAAAACTTTATTCCACTTGCTACTTAAATCTGAAAGTTACATCAGTCCATATTTGCACTAGGACACTGCGCTACGCTCAGGTCAAACTTTTACACCCAGAAACGAGCGGGCAAAGGCGGACAGCCTCTATCCTCTGCCTGGCCCCGGCGGCGGCAGCGAGAGCTCCGGCCCGGTGGCAACTGTCCCAGCCCCGGCAGCGGTAGCGACAGCAGCGGTAGCACAGCCCCGGGTCCCGGCGGCGGGTCTGTCAGTGTGTCGCTCTTTGGTTCTCTCCTCGCCATTTCCTGTGTGGCGCTTTAGGCTAAAGTAGCAGCTGCCGCTAATCGTGAAGCTGCTACGAGTTGACACAGCAGGTTGACGTGAGTGACAGGACAGTTGTCCAATCAGATTACACTAAATAAACAGACACTATGATGTCATTGGTCTGAGCGCTAAAGTTTGTGCCCTCAGCCCGAAGTGAAATGCGCCAATCAAAATCATTTTAAAATAGTAATAATAACGGCCTGTGCTGGAGGGTGGAGCACCAGTGGCCGCTAGGGGGGGCACGGCCCTCTAATGCCCCAACTTGCCGCCGACACCGGTGAACAGTGAATTGGCCCCGGTACAAGCCCGGTAGAACGTGTGTCATGGAGGAGGTGTGTGCGGGGCGGGGCCGCGGAGACACCGGAGCAGGCAGGAGGAGCACTGGAGACGTGCACACGTGATGTGTTTCAAAGAAATCTATGTCAGACTATTAATTTTTTTGAATATATTTAGGCCTGTTTACTGTGAGTGTGAGCTACAAAAGCATATTGCCAGTTCAGGCTTCACACTTCTATGTTTGATACAAATGTGAATGTGTTTGTTCAGGTGAAGTTGTCAGTGCAGTCGGCCTACACCAGGTGGTGGACTGAAGAGAGAAGACCAGGTCCAGGTCTTATCTCACCATGAGCTTAGCTGGCTCATCAACACTGATATAAAAGTCCACTGTGCACTGGAGTAAAGTAAAGGTAAGCTTGTGATTAAATTAAAGAATTGGCCAAACATGTCAAAAAACATGGAAGACAATGTTCTGTGATTGCAGGTGTAATAATTAGGGCTGGGCAAAAATTTAAAAAATGTAATCGCGATTAATCACATGTTATACGCAAAACCAATTAATGAATTAAAAAGTGGAGTATAGCGCTCTTTTATTGGAAATGTAAATGAAAGAGCCAAACATTTGTTGTGCAAACAGCATTTCTTTCACAGGGGAACCTCAGAGCCTTCAAGGTATTCAGGGAAAGCTCAAGAAAAAATATTGAATGGACGTTTGTACTACTAATATATTTATTGAATATTTTTTATGCTGTGAGTAATGAATACTCCACTAGTAATAATTTCTAGATCAGTGTTATAAACTTGGACTGATATTTCTTAGGAAACAAAGGGTTAATATAATGGAATGGAAATGGACCAATCACATTTTTTCTTCCAATGGTATCTGGGTAAATCAGTTACTCCAGCACTGTACTAAAGAAATAAGCTCGTTGCATCTCACGTGGTCAGAAAAAAGTGTAAAGAAAAGAAAACGCTTGCGGTGGACTTTTTCAAAATAAAAGCCAGTGAGAAACAGACGTTTACAATTAAATAAATAAATAAATAATAAAAACTGCGTTAACGACGTTAAAATAATTGTCGGCGTTAATGACTTAATTAGTTAACGCAAAGTTAACGCAAAGTTAACGCGTTAACGTGCTTGGCCCTAGTAATAATGAACACCATGTTTAATAAAAAAAAAATATGTATTTATTTGTTTAGGTGTCACCACACCAGGTGGACACTGGAGACTGAGGACCTCACCTCTGTAGCTGTCTGTTTTTCACTAGAAGTCTCCTGCATACTCGACTGGTGAACATGTCATTCATGTACACACTTAGTGGTGGATGTTGAGGTCATTATAATAACATTAAGCTCAGTTGTTTTCTGTCACTCCTCTCAGTGTAAATATTAAAGGTGTATTCTAATAATAAAATGTGATTGTTTGTGTTTAGGTCTCCTGGTTTATACTGAGCACTGATCAGTTAAGATCAGGTCACATTCCAGCTCTGTGTCTGAGCTCAACTCACTTCTTCACTGCATCCACTGCACTTCACAGGTGAGCATTTCTGCATGACATTAGAATAATACAGAGTGCTGTTACCTCCTTTGATTCCTCTGTGTTTTGTGATTGCAGATGTTTCGTGAGGTGAACACAGACAGGACTACAGATCTAGAAGGAGCCTAAAGGACTTGAGTGCAGCTCACACAGAGCTGAAGTATCCTCACGTCTTTTCTCTTCAGGCTCTTTATGGACTTTATACATCAGCTCATGTCCAACTGTCTGTTATATGTGTTAAATATTTCGTTACATCTTTTGTTTACATATTTTAATGTGTATTTGTGTTAACTGTTTTTTTTAAATAAATGTTTGAATGCATTTTAGCTCTGAGTCTGTCTATTCTTATGACAATACATTGATTAGCTGTATTTTTTAAATTACAGGGAATTACTGGCAACAAAATTGCCAGGTAATACTTGTAAATATGATTTACAATAATTTACTGAAATAATACAATAAACACCTGGCAACAAAATTGCCAGGTGTTTATTGTAAAATTTACAGGAAATTTGTTACAGTGCAGAGATGGTGTTGTAAGGGAGACGGGATCTTCTTCTGTACACTTTATCTCATTAGTAGCCTGAGCGCACGTATTGGGAAACTGCTATTATTAAGTGTGACAACTAAATAGACTCAAACCACTGTTGGAATGCACGTTATGTTTTACAGAAACATAATCTTACTGTTTTACATACTTCCTATACAGGGTTTCAGATAATATTACGACATTAGACTTGTAAAATGAATTGGAAATTGGGTTTAGGAACAATTGTTGTTTATTCCATGGTTAGTGAGAATTCCAATTGCTAACTTCTTGCATTAATTCTGCAAATAAACTGTATAATAATAAGTGGACTAAGGGAGTGTGACATCGACAGCAGGTTAATACGAACATTTTATGACCAAAATAATGAGGCTCAGTGCTGCAATTACAGAGACCATTTTCCCATGTAAAGTTAATTGGAGCCAGAGTCGATGGAGCTGGTAGTGCCCCCATGTTCACTTCCTATTTGGAACGTAGCAGCTAATGTGTTAGCTATGTCCATTCATAATTAAAGTAATTTTGCAGAAGGCATTAGTAGTTTGGCAACAGTTAAAGCAGATTCTATCACTGCTCTGCTGCCATCACCACATAGACCCTTTATATAGACATAGCTAACGTGCTAGCCGGCACATTCCAAACAGGAAGTTTGTATGCAGACACTTCAGACTCCTACTGACCCTGGCTCCTGTTGACTGACATTGAAATATTGTGGCCCCTCTCTCTGTAACTGCTGCTGTGAGCCTTGTCATTTTAGTCTTATAATGTTTGTATTAACCCGCTCTACATGATCCCGGGGTTTTTATGTCACTGTTTTGTCCATTAAAAAATCATATTCGTAATATGAAGCCTAGCTCCATATTCACCCCTGTGAGTGGAGCCCAACGCTGCGGGTGATATCAAACTCGCTTAGTCCACTTCTTTATAAAGTCTACGGAAACAACTTATATTTTAGACATTAACAGACAGGGAACAGGTTTTTCAGAGACATTTCAGCTTGTAGTCATGCTATAAGTGCATTAAGCAACTTGTTTATATTAAATAATCAGTCTCAACATGTGTCACTTTTCCTTTTGAATATTTCTTATATAAATATATAGAAAATATAGTCTGTGGGGAAAAGCCATCAGGGACTATGACGTAATCAATTCCAAGAATCAGAACACAAAGTAAAGTATTACGTTTGTTAATCCATGTTTATTGCACATTTGAGAATTCCCGTAGTTGTAAAGTCACTCCCAAACCTGCTTAATTAAGTAACAAGTTAAGTAAATGGTTTTCCCATAGTTAGTCAGTATCTGAGGTCTGTTTCTCAATTACTCTGCACTTACCTATATAAGAACAAGTGGCCAAAGCCTGGACGCACTTGACACTTTGGAAACAGTCAGTCAGTCAGGGACTTCTTATAAAGTCTTTACATTTCTGATGATGAAGGTTTTGTCTGTTTTTGCTCTATTGGTGGCTGTTGCTGCCGCTCAAGTAAGTAAATAAAGTGAGAAGTTATAAATCCAGGTGACTATTTCTAAAAATGTTTGTGTTATAGTCTGGTGATGGCAGTCCTGAAGATGGAGGGAGTCATGAACATCAGCTACAAAAGGTATGTCTTTTTATCAAAGGAGAATTCTTAAAGGTGCATTGTGTAACTTTTCTGGTGGAGGGTCCATCAAATGCTTTTCCTTGTGGAGATGTTACTGCTTTGTCTGGAAAGTTTAAATTATGGTATTAAATATTTTTATCTTCATGAAGACCAAACCAGACCAAGTGACAGGTCATATCTGTGGAGAGGCAACCCCGCTCACAGTTACAATGCCTGATTTTATAGGTATTTGTGAGCTAAAAAAACACCTCTAATTTAATAATTGTATAAGGGGACAGACCTCCAACCAGAATGCTACATAGTGCACCTTTAAACATGAAGTCAGCTACATTTAATTGTTCTTCTGATAAAGCCCAGTAGACATCCTTGGCGTCCTCATTGGAGAATCAGGCGCAGCGCTCCAGGAGGGAAGAGGCCAGGCCACCATTTTGGCAAGGTAAACAGACATGCAGCCATCCATTTAGGTTTAGTCTAGTTTTTACTTGTGGCACTTAAACTGGCCCTTTTTTATTATTGTTGAAAGAGGTTTGTTTGTTAATATTTACTAAAAATTATCTAAACTATTGCATGTTATTGTGTGCTTATTTGCTCTAATTAATATCCACAATACTTTGCTACAGGATCACATCGTGTTTTCTCCCATCTTCAAGGTAGGCAATTTTCTGCGATCTTGATACATATATACACATTTTCAGACAACACTAAAGATAATTATGTTTTTTTTTAATTGTTATTATTTTAGGTCGGCAATGTGACATTTCAGGTAACTGTATGACAAAAAAAAACAATCAAAATGAATGTATATGTTTTATAGTGCTAACACTTAATTTCACTCACAGAACAGCTCGGCGGTTCAACTGAAGGAGGTACTCAGCATACACATGTTACCTTTTGTATTACAATGTTTGGATTTTTAACTGAGTCTGTGTTTTGTTTTGTTTTTTTCAGGGAGAGAACCTTTTCTTTTTGATGAAGGTAGGTCTCTAAATAAATACTGATATGCATTGCATTGCCTCTTGTACAAACCAATTTGAATAACAAATATTTGTGCTTCAGAAAACAAGACCACCTTTCAAGGTAAATAACATAAATCCAGAGTCTGCTTTAACACAGCATTCACTTTGTTTCTGACAGTTATTTCTTTATTTTTGTAACAGCAATATCTGAAGCTCACCTACAACTCCACTGAACCAGTAACTAAAATCCTCCAGGTTTATTCTGTACACTACCGTCAAATGACATATTCATGAACATAAACTGTTTTGTGTTTTTTATAGAGCAAAGTTGCCGTAGAGTTTGGAGAACTGAAGCCGGTGAGTTAAACAGTCTCATGGATTTGTTTACATTTATTTCAAGTCTTAATAATATGTTTGTTATTTCATATTTTAGCCCACTCGTGTGCTTGTACCCGTCTTCAGGGTAAGATTATTTCCATTAAAATGTTACAGTATATTCTACAAATATAATTAGTGGTCTCAACAAAATACTGTTTCTTTATTGTTTTGTTTTGTTTTGTTTTGCTTTGTGTTTTATTTTTTTTATTTTTTTAGGTTGAAAATGTGACATTCCAGGTAATCATATTTTTATTTCAGCTCTCAAAAGTATGTTTTATTTATATTACAAAAGTTTTACCAAGTCTGTTTTCTTCATTAGAACACCACAAGTGTTCAACTGGAGCAGGTAAAAGTCTCTAAATGTTTCCAAAACTGCATTGATACATTACTTGTACTAATCAGTGAAATTTGTACTAATCTATGAAATTCAAACATTAAAGGGGGACAATCTCTTTCTCAAAGTGAAGGTGAGTTTTTGAGACTGTCTTTTTATTAAAGACATGTTGAGAAATTCATATTTCATATTCATTCATAATGACTACACCTATATGTTTCAGGGAAGAGGACCGCCCCATCCACCGCACTTTAAACCCCAGCACTTTAGAGTAAACAGAATATTCTTTACGTCATTGGCCAAAAGGTGATATCTGTGGTTTAAATATATAACATGTGATTATATTGTAGGTTCCCTTCCACGGACCACCGCACAGACCTCCATTTAGGGTATACAGTTTAGTATAGAGTACCATTATTCTGATGTGTGTATTTCACTTAATCGTGCTTTTTATTCTGTTTTTAGGGACAGTATGTCAAAGTCATCTACAACAGCACTGAGCCTGTAAGTTTGACCAAATCAAAGCCTAGAACTTAAAAACATCAACTTAAAGGGCCCATATTGTGCTGTTTTCTGATCGATGTTCTACTGTTGTTTCCTTTTGTTTCATTCACACATGTTTAACGCACAAACCCTGCATATTTGAGCTTTGTCCTTGAGGAGCACCTGTTCTGGACTTTTAATTAAGAAACTCCCCTGAATCTCTCACTCCATTTTTATTTTATTTTTTCTAAATGACATTAACTTAATGTTTATCCTTTTTCAGAACCAAGTCTCTGTTGAGTACGGCACTGTGGAATTGGTAAGCAATAATGTAAAATCAAGAATATTTCAGAGATATTGCATGACTATTCTTCCCATATTTACATATTTATTTAACATTTAGACCCTCGACATTGAGATTATGACTGAGGATGAAGTGTAGCAAGTAAAGGTGAGACTCTGTGTAAATTTGACTGTCAGATCTTGTTTCTAATCGTGTTTTTTTCACTCTTTCTCAGGAAGAGCTCTACAAAATGGATCAGCCTGCTTCTGAAATCAAAATCACTGACTAAAATTTATCAAATAAATTGAATTATCATTGACTATCATGTTGGTGTATTCTTGTAACAAAGCACAAAGTAAACATGAATCGATCGCATTTTGTCACACATCTTTATTTGACATGTTTCTAAAAAAGTTGGAGAATACATGAATATACACAGAACAGGATACACTGAAGGGCTTTTAGTCGGTGAATGAGATCTGACGAAGTTCACGGCTCAAAAAGGAAGGGGAAGTTGGAATGACCCTAGAGAGATGAGACATATTTAAATAATAATTAAACCAAATGACATATATTAATTTATGATTACATGAAGCCATACCTCATCAACCCCAGGACCAGAGGCGTCACCACGGAGCTCCGGGGTAATCGTAGTGGCCTCTTTGTTTGTCCCCAGTGGCCTTGTCTGACAAAGAATCAATACAAGAATGTAATTAATCCATATATTAAAATAGTTCAAACTAAATATTGGAGCTTATAATTGGATATGGTTGAATAAGCTTAAGGACAAAGTGTAAGTGTTTTATTGAGGGCATATTGTGTAATTTTTCAGGTGGAGGGCTCATCACTTGCTGGTTTCTATGAAGATGTCCACAGTATGACATTAAACAGCTTTGCCTTACATTTATTCAATTACACTGGTTTTATTGCTCAAAATAGCTAGAAAAACAAGTATTCTGACTGTGAGCAGGGTTGCCTCTCCACAGATCTGACCTGTAACTTGGTCTGGTTGGTTTCCATGAAGATAGAAAGGTTTAACACCATACTGTGCAACATTTCAGGCAAAGTAATAGCATTTTCATGAAGATAAGCATTTGAAAGACCCTTCACCAGAAAAGTTACACAATGCATCTTTAACATTTGGACAACTAAACTACCAGTCAAAAGTAGTTACATTATAAATTCTTACTTAAGGCATCAAAAATAAGAATGAACACATATTGAATGTAGCAAACAAAAAATTTACTCTAAATAATTGAGAACTTGTTTTTGATTTCTATTGATTTTTTAAAATAGCCACCCTTTGCTTTGAACCCTGGTTTGCACTTTTGGCATTTCTGGTACAGCTGTCAAGTGAAAACTATTTCAGGAGACTTCATCAAGAAGTTCACTGAGAGAAGGTCAAGGGTTTGCAAAGGAAGGCTACTTTGATGATTTGAATATATGAAATAGAAAATATTTGGTTGAGTTATTAAACTTCTTTTTTTTTTCTACATAATTCCATATATCTTGCATTATATATTTATTGCCTTCTGTATGTTTTTTAAATGTAACGTAAACATAAAACAAAAACACTGAATAAGAGGATGTATCCAGCATTTTGACTGGTAGTGTGTAGCAAACAAACTGACAGATAGAAATAGTTAATCATACTTTGAGATAAACACACAGATACAGTAAACTATAGGAGTTTATGGTGTACTTACAGAGTCTGTAGGTACTTTAGGTTGGGATGCATGCTGCAATAGAACGATAAAAACATGAATAATTCAATGCGGTCATTATTTCTATTTTTATCTGGTTATATTTGTATTGTTTTGAAGTTTAATTCACAAACGTATCTTATCTACCTTACTGCTACTATTTTCCATATTCAGGTCAAGTTGTTAAAGATTCGTAACAATGAAAGCCTGTCTTTAAAGATAGTATTAGCCAGCTTGTTGTGTGGTAACCAGAAGGAGACATATTTATTTTCCTCCACAGCTTCTCAGTCTGTTTGTGGTCAGTCTGTCAGACACTGCCCATTGCATCACATCACACCACATCCCCACAACCATGACACAACCCCAGCAAACCTTTTATTATTGACTTATGAGGGCATGATTTCACTAACCAGACATGTCTCTCCTCCTCCCCCATCCCTGTCTGACCTCCTGTTACATTGTGAAAGCCGCTGTTGCGTGCACTGACCTGCAGAGGGAGCTGTGGTCTCTGAGTGGTTCTGTCCAGGTTGGCGTTGGGCTGCACCTGTCCGTTGTTTGGCTGCAGGGGCGCGGCGTTTCTCTGCTGAGTGTATCCGTAACGGGGGAAGAAGTAGGAAAAGCTCTGCAGGTATCAGAAAAAACAAATGTTTAGGATTATATCATTCATATTTGAGGAATTTGGCGTTAGCTCAGATTAGCACGTGTCTTACCTGCTGTCTGGTCAGTTGAGGATAGGCATAGGCAGGATACTGAAACTGAGGATACATCTGCAAGAAGTTCAATACAAAGTTAAAACTAAAGGTTTGTTTTAGTGCACGTCACTTCACATTAGAGTTTACAATATTTCATATAATATTATATTGATTTATATCATTATATTTTTTTCTGTTATTTCAGACTAAATGTAAAAATTTTCACATGAATACCTAATTTACAATAGCCTAAAGCCTCATGTTTCTGTTGAATCTCTTCAAACACCAAAGCAACAATTTTCCTCCACCTCTTAAAAAAGTGCCACTGTGCTCGTACCTGTACAGGGTTCTGTGCCTGCTGTGGGACATTGGGAGCATTGGGGTCCTGTGGTCCGAGCTGCTCCTGCTGACCATTGGGGAGGATGACGGGGGTCAGCTGGTTCCCCTGAGACGGCAGCAACACCTGAGGCCCCTGAGGGCCGAAGGGCCCGGCCACCTGCGGGTTCAGGTTCACCACCTGAGGAGTGAGCAGCACCTCAGGCTGCTGCTGCTGCAGCACGAAGGGAGGCAGCAGAGAAGTGGCCTGGGTAATGAGAGCAAGTAATATGAGCTTTTCTAATGTCCAAATAGTAATGCGGTCCATTGTCTTTGTTTTACCTGAGCTTGACCCAAAGTGGCGAGAGTTAAGCCGTTCAATCCGTTCAGTCCATTCAGTCTCAAAATCTAAAATACAAATGTTTGAATTTAGTGACACTGTTCATACTTTACATTTGACAACATCCCAAGAACACATAGATGCTTTCTTAGTCCAAAAGGGGATCAGTTGTTTTCTGTAGTAATCTGTAAAGAAACCACCAAAACAAAGGAACAAGTCACAAGTATACGTAACATGCTGTTTACCTCATTGCTGTTACTTGCAAGAATTCCAATCTGCACCTGTTAAAAAGGCCACACATGAACAATGTAAATCATAAAACCGTCCTTATAGTATTCAAGAATGTTAAGTAATGTTAAACTATCACAACGTACTGGAAGTCCAAAACTTGTTCTCAAAAGACAGGCCAACAGTACAGCTACTTGAGGTTTCATTGTGGCCTACAGTACGGAATAAAACATGTATTTTCAACAAAATCTACAAATTCAGCTCTGTAGAGTTCAACTTACTTTGTCTTTGCTTTCCCTTTCTGAATTCTTCACCTTGGTCCCATCCTTTATAAATATCTGCAGGTGATGGTGTCCAGCGCCTGCCCAGACGAGCCATGTGTGGTCAGTACAACAGACATTTCTCATCACTTAAGTCTGTTATTATGTGTATGTCATGTCTCTAAACGCCATAACAAGTTTGGATAGTGCCAGCTAATCTTACGCTTAATTTTCTACAATCATTTATTGCAAAAGTACCATGACTTTGCAGTATTTTAAGAGTGAATTGTAAATGTTGTGAGGTGGGGGGGTCTTGCCAACAAGTTGATGTTTTAAATGCAGAAACTATGTGGGTAATTACAGGCTCTAAATCAGCAAGAATTTGGCTTGTCATGGGAAAAAAAGAACAGCATCGGCAGAAAGTCTATAATCATAAAGACATGTGTCTCAATCATGTTAAGACTTATGCTCAGATACAGTATCTCTGCGACAGCGATGAAATGTAGATTGTTTATGGAAATAGTGCTTATTGTGCAGCTGTTTTTTTTTTTTCCCCAAATTTACTATGCCAGTTTATTTTATTTTTTTTAAATAAAGTTTGAGATTCCATTGCAATATTTTAATTGCTTTAAAAACTTGTTAAAGAAATATAGAATAAATTAACATAAAGAAGCTTATATAAGGGAAATACGTCATCAATTGTGGAGTCACTCTGTAATTTTGACTTTTTTTGTTTATTTTATTTTTTATCTAATGAGTATTTGAACAAGTGTGGATATAGCTGGTGTTTTTGTTATGTAATTTTGTCATTGTCCTTTGGATGGCAGCAAATGCCCACTTGGAGATGGAGCCAAAGAGAAGTAATACAGTGTGTGAATCAAAATTTAATTTTATTAAACATCACATAATAGACATGAGAAAAGTAATCAGGAAAACATTTTATTATGTATGTTTCAATTGCAATGTAAACATAAAGGCTCAGTTTTTCTAATTAACGGCGATGTTTAGAGGATCCACAGTTGGAGGCGGAATCTAAAAGAGAAGAAAAATCAGCATGTTTAAAAAGTGTGTTACACAAATATGTCATAGATAATGTTACCTGAGTGTCCGCTGGGGGGACCACTGTATTGTCTGGGATCATCACCTGTCGCTGAATTACAAGCTCCAGTGAGTACAGGCTCATTCATAAACATTCACATGTCATATAAACATGTACCCTGAAGCTCATTCTTAAAAATTCATATAAACATGTACCCTGAAGCTCATTCATAAACATTCTCTAAGATATAGTAAGTCTGTACCCTGAAGCGTTGGAGTTGGTCCGGCTGAGCTGGGAACAGCTGTGGTTGTTGCTGCTGCATGTTGCCCATTGGGAAACCACCCTACACAAACACATTTTTATACAAATGATTTATTTTTTTTATTGTCATGTCTTGACAAAAGGAACCTACCATGACTTGCTGTGGGAGCAGTTGTTGTGCAGGGGTGATGGGTCCCATTTGTGCCACCCCCATATAAGGAAACTGCCACAGAAAATACAGAAGGTTCAAAAACTACACAAAGTTCACTGATATATGTTTTAGCTACACAGACCTGATTGGCTGCTTGTGCTGGGGCTGGTGCAGGGTAAATGTTTCTAATAGCTGCCTGCGGGGCACCATAGGCAGGTAGAGCGGGCACAAACTGAAAGACCATTTGTACATTGTTAAAACCTTAAGTTAGCTGAAGTTGACCTGCTGTGCAACTATAACCAGTTAATGTAACCTCCTCTTATTCTCACCTGAGGAAACTGGGGCTGCGCAATGAACCCTGCTCCTCCTGGGATTATAATGGGACGCACTAAGCCTGAGCCTATCAGGCCCGCAGCGGCTGGGTTTACTCCCATCCCCATGGCGTTCATTGTATTGATAGCCGCTAACAGCCTTGCAGTCTGTGTCAACATAAAAGGGCATTTAGACAACACCTTTATTAAAACACTGTACTAATAAACAATATTACATTCATTATAATAATAAGTGACTTCTTACTTTTCCTGCACTGACCTGGAATAACAGAAAACAACAACAATAACAATACTTATTAAAACTAAGCACTTAATCTGAAATCACACATTTTGTAGAAGTAGTGGTGGTACTATTGGGAGCTGGGAATGGGACAAAATCTTGTTCCACAAGACCAAATAAATGGTGAAGCCAAAAATGTGACCTGAATCACAAAAGGCATTTATTACAAATTATGTTAAAATCTCGTCTTTTCTCGTTCTCATGGATTCAATCTCATCTTGTGGAAATTGTGTCTCATTCCATCCCCAACGGTAGCATCTGAAGAAGTTATGGTACTATAGTTGTTGCTGAGAAGTTAGTAGTAGAAAATGCTAATGTCTAAGTTGATTACTTACATAGCAAATTGTAGCTAACAATGTTGTGAAGGCCAGGAGCTTCATCTTGTACTGCAAATGAAAAGGTTATAATTAGTCCATTTACACATTTACTTTTGTGTTAATTTTGTAACATACCTTAAGTTTTCTCTGGTGGGTGTTATGTGCCAGGTAGGACTACAGTAGTTGTGTGGCTGTGCTCATATAGGTAGAGCTTTTTATCAGTCTCAGAGATTATTAGCATCCAATTAGACAGAAGAAGACTCAGTTATTCATGGACTATTTCTGTCACCTCTGTCACCATTTTAGTCTTTTTGCAGGACTCAGAAAGTTGGTTGAAATGGTCAGTTTTAATCTCTTTTGTTCTCTCAGATGGACCACAGACAATAACAGTGAATCACAAGCCTGAGGTAAATACCTTTAGGACATTTTTCTTAAACCTTCTCTAACCCCAGAGGACTGTGGGTAGTGATGGGGCACAAACAGATGTATCACTCAGTGCTATGGAAGAGCAAGGATGAGTTGAACTAGCCAGGTTTGGTTTAACATTTAGTAAACAAGTAATATCTGTGTTTTTGCTATAGTATGTATATATTAATGTTGCCATAAGGGGGAGGACTTGTACAGAATAGCTCATACGTCATAGAAAAGTAATGCAATATTATTTTGTTATTTTAGAAAATGTATTACACAACTTATTAGTACTTAAATATCCTTACCATTCAGAGGGCCCATGTGTGGACCTTTGTGGTTTTTCTGAATTAACTTTTGTTTGTCTTGCCTTCAGACCAAAAGGGGACTCTCAATCTCATGGACACTAACCTACTTTCAGTCAAATCAACCATTTTGAGAAGAATTTGGACAGTGTGCACTCCAAGCCCATACTTAAAAAAAACTTTTATGTTAATTCCATCTGAACTTTTTTTTTTGCCTAAATCTAATTTTTTGTGAGATATGGTTCAGCTTTGACACAGAAATTGTCAAGACCCAACAAATGTTCAAGCTACTGTATCTGATTATCCCCAGAGCCACCGATTATATCTGCTCTTATATTTACCCCAAATAATTTAGGCGTGATTCAAAGTCTGACTTTCCTCTGTGTAGAGCTTGTTCCCACTTAAAAATAGAGCAGATCAGACAGTAGGCCAAAACTGCAGAGTCTTTCCACTTCACAAAGTTTCCAGACATTTGTTTGTGGTCCAAAGGGTTCAGAAACAGATTTAGATTGAATTTAGTCATTTTTGTCTACCAAATGACTCCGTACTGATTTTAGATATTTGGGGATTATTGACTTAAAACTGTCACTGCTTTTACTTGTCTCAAAAATAACAAGAATACTTCTAGATTAGAACTTTTAACAACAGTTTTCAAGGTATGTGTGATGCTGAAAACTAAATTAAACAGGCCATGTTATGGGGGATGTCTCTTTGTGCTGATCACTACTTTACAATTCAAATGTAATTTAAGAGTGTTTATGATTTAATGTTTAATTTAAATGCTTGAAATTGTACTGAAAATGCACACTCAGTCTTGCTTGTGTGTTTTTCAGGGCATGTCGTCACATCTTGAGGCTGTCTGGGAACCTTCTGGAGCTGCTGACTGGGCAGCCCACACACACCAGGTAAACAAACACTGAGAGACTGGGCTGAACCGACCTAAATTACACTCTGTCATCAGCGTCAAATGAGGAAAAGCTCTTCCTGTGCTCCACCATTTCAACACAATAACATGTCCTAGAAGAATTACATCACTATTTCATCACATATTTTCAACTTTGTAATAAAGATATGTTGCTTTTTATGGCCTATACAAAATTAAATTACACTTATTTGTATGTTAGCTTTTTGTGCATCAAATATAGAATGTGGTGTTTTGTTTTGCTTTGCTTTTTTTTTTTTTCATAAACTTTGCTATTATATGTAAACATTTTCTTTTGCTACAATGTTAAAAAAAAAAAAAAAAAACTATTAAATCAAACAATAATAGTAATAGTAATAATGTTTCTAAACATTCAAAGACACTGTACAAAAAATACAATTAAAAAGTGTACAAAGACATGATGCATCTAAAATAATAACCACTGTACACAGTTTTATTCAGAGATCATATTTATTGATGATTTGTTGAAACATTGACGTATTAAAGAGTCAAACAGCATTGCGGGTTGATTGACATTGTGACTTCAGTAGTATTTCTAATATTATTGTTTCTTATGCATGCATCCCAGAGCCTTCCTCTTCTTCTTCTTCCTCTTCCTCTTCTTCTTTAGTTGACATCACCTTTGTTCCCACCATTGGAGTCCTCCTGAGACGTGTAGCAACCGATCGCACAAATCGAAGTCCACCTACTATTTTCCCAACATTCCCGGGGGCAGGCTGCTGCAGTTGGTTGATAATTCCTGCTGCAGGGATCAGCTGGACTTGCGCTGGTGTCGAAAAGGCAGCCTGAGGGTTTCCAATGGCTCCCCCTTGTGGAAGGACAGCGAACAGCGTGATGGGTGATCCTTGTCCTGGCTGGCCCGCTTGGCCCTGTGCAACAGCACCTCCTCCTCCAAGTTGTCCCAATCCAACCTGACCTTGCTGGATAGCCCCTAAAGCCACGAGCTGTTCAATAGGAGTTTGGCCTACTTGGTTTCCGGCTTGCTGTACAACAAATGATCCTCCTAATGGAACTAACTGAGCCACAACAGCCTGCCCATTCAGAGGGACCCCATTTTGAGCTGCTGCATTTACATTGTTGCCCGCTACACCCACACCATTTATGGCTGCTGCTCTGGCGAGGGTCTCAGCGCTGGCAGAGATCAGACCACCCTCCGCCAGAACAGCCAGACATGGAAAAATGAGCCAAAATAAGCAAAACATTTTCCCCAAGAGTAGGAAGTGAGCAAGAATATGAAGACACACTGCTTTTATTCACTATGTCCCATCTAATAATCACCAGCAAACAGCCAATCAGAGTCCAGAACAGTGCCTCAAAACAAGTTACAGTGTTCACCGTGACTATGCATCTTGGCTATTTTTGCTTTGTTGACTACAGAGATATTCATTTTGGATTTTGTGGCTGTCCAGAACCAAAAATTAGTGGACAGTGTTCTGTGGTGTCATTGGACAAAGGTTACACAAAAATAGGCAGTAGCAAAGGTGTAATGAAGGTACAGTGGAGATCTTATCTAACAGTGGTACATGAGGTACAAGTACAGTGGTGACTCACCTGCCCGCAAATTAATTTCTTGGTTTAGCCCTTTGATTTTTCAAATTCTAAAAAAAACATTTGCTGTGAATACAAACCAAACAAAAGCTATGCAGTATTTGAATTGGGCTTGACTAAAATATTACATGTGATATTCTAAAAAGATTTAATAACATTTGAAAAGACACCCACAGTCATTGCTACAACTATAAAACAAAAAGAAAAGAAAGTTTAACATTGGCTGAACTAGACTAGACAAGACTACATCAAGTCAACTACAAGGAGCTTTTGTAAACTAGTCCCCAGTTGGAATGCTCTTAGACATTTTTATTGAAATAATTAAAAACATCTTAACAAAAATATAAAGTATTTCCAGGACTAGTGTGACTAGATGAAACAGGACCTATAATTATCTCTAAACATGAGGGAAAGTGAGGTTTATACTTGTCAGAGTGTATCTCTTGGTGTGAGCAGCTCTCTGAAGCTCAGAACAGCAAACTGGTATCCATATCCTCTGTAAATGACAAAATAAAAAGCAAAGATTTAAGGATAATATATTAAATAAACTTGACTCTTGTGATCTTTAAGACATGTTGTAATATCGTTACCTTTTTAAAAACATACCTCAAGTTGTGTTTTGTTTCATTCACACATTTGAGTAACCCTTTATTAATAGTCTGTCTACATCTGCAAAGCTCAAAATGGTCTGTTCCACCTTGTGATGTAATGTAGTGGTAGTTTTCAAGTTAACAGCTCCTTTTACTTACTTTAGTTTAGTAGAGACGGGAAATTCCAAGCCTGAAATTATCTAAATGGGTCTATTGAAGCAGGTGTATGGAGTTTAAAAACAGGACTTCCTGCATTACCACATGACATCACAAAGTGGAGCAGAGTGTTTTCTGTTTGAGAGAAGAACTAAACATGCAGGATTTGTGTGTTAAACAAAACACAACTGAATGAAACAAAACACAACTCCTGGCTTGTACGTTGAGGAATTACACATAATAGATCAGAAAAAAAAAAAAGTAATATGGGCCCTTTAACTTCAGGATTATAATCTGATATCATTGAGTCACTGTTCATTTTGCAGATCGTACCTTCTTTGATGCCGAAACAGGAAGTCCACTCTTTAAATGAGACCTGTTTGTCTTTGTCAGAATCACACTCCTGAAAGAAGAGGGACGTGCAGTGCTCCATGGGCACCAGAGGGACCCTCAGAGGGGCCAGCTCCGAGTGGGACAGCTGTCTGTAACACACCAGGAAGAATAAGGTGAGTATAATTTTATTTGCAGCTAATGTCAACATTCCCTGGGGATGTGCTGCTAACTGTAGGCTCTGCTCTGTCTGATTTAGCTGGAACAGATGAGCTAAGGTATTGATTATAGGCTCCTGAAAATATGTAAATTCTTTTCAGGAGCACTGCATGACATTTCTGGTGGAGGGTCTGCCACCTATTTGTCTCCATGGATATGTTATTGCTTTGTCTAGAATGTTCCATGGTATAGATTAAGTCTATATATCACAATACAGCACTACGCCACATTATAGTTCAGATCTGTGGAGAGTCGTCCATATCCACAGAAGGAATTATTATATTTTTGAGCAATAGAAACACCCAAAATGATTAAAAGCTAGATGAATATGTTTAATGTCATACCATGGAACATTCCAGGCAAAGCAAAATCTCCATGGAGACAAGTAAGTAGCAGAAGCTCTACCAAAAAAGTTGCACAGTGCACCTTTAAATCCATTTTGTGTGTGTGTGTGTTTGTTTTTTTTCTTGAGTTTTCAGATCTTAAAACTTCTTTTTGACAGTGTTTTCTAATGTGTGCATTGTGTCAGCATGGTCATTTCTAAACATTCCAGCATTAGACATACATGTAGAACACTCCCAGCATGACAGAGTATCAATTATTGTGTGATCATATCTAAAAACACTGTATACCGGTCAGAGGGGTGTTGGTCCAGCTGTGCAAACTGCCAGTGCACGGGGTAGATGTACATGCGGTAGTTTTTCTCGAAGTCCTGTTCAAGAAGTTCCACAGAGTGATCACCAACGTGAAGACGTCTCTCACTCTCGAAGATTTTTTTCACCTAAATACACATAGATAGTGTCTATATTATTTGTCTGCTAATTTGGGTGCACATAAAATAAACAGTGGTGGGGTATAGATTTCTGTAAATGTGTACTCTCAAGTAAAAGTAAATAGCAAAACGTATGTATACAGTTACAACCACAAGGATTGCTGTCAAAATAAAATTGAGTTTAGTAAAAGTACACATAAAAATACTTCTCAAAGAATTAATTAAAGGCTCTGTATTACACAAAATTGACTCTCATGACTTCTCGTGAACCATGTTAGAATGTTACCTCCTCAAAACCATATCTGGAGTTGTATTTTCTTTCATTCACACATGTTTGAAAAATCCTTTATTTTTAGGCTGTCTACATCTCGAAAGCTGAAAATGCTCTGCTCCACCTTGAAGCGGTAGTTTTCAAATTAGCAGCTACATTTTACCTTTTTGTTCAGTAGAGATTGTTAATTTCAGGGCTGAAATCATCCAAATGATTCTTGTGAAGGTATATGGAGTTTAAAAATACAGTGGAGCACTTCCTGTACTGCCTCATGACATCACAAGGTGGAGCGTAGTGTTTTCTATTTGAGAAAAGAACTCATCCTGAATATGCAGAGTTTGTGTGTTAAACTTGTGTGAATGAAACAAAATGATGTGGAAACAACATTATAACATACATCAGAAAATATCAAAAACCAATTACAAGTACCCCCTGATTGCAAGTATTATTAAATTAATCTATAAATATTACTCTTAAGCGTTGTTTAGGAGTGAGGAAGCCCGGGGAGGTGGTGTCATGTTCATATAGCTGCAGCAATACATTTTTCAGCCAGTCCCTCATCCTCAAAGGAAACTGGATCAACTCTGGGGCTAAACAGGCTGGGATCACTGCGGTAACACAGAGAGACAAGAGGATTTTGTGAAATAAACTGTAACAAACAAAATATCGTGCATCATACTATGTTTTTATGCTTACATTTGCATGATCCAGTGTAGTCCAGATGAAGCCGGTGTCCTTTCTTTGTCCCCTCGAGGTTACATTTTGTGGCAAACAGTTCACAAGATGTTTCATATGTTTTGTTATCAGTTCCACAGACCTGCAGAAATTAAATAATCATAGGAACTTACATTAGGCCTGTCACAATAATATTGTAATTATAAGCTTATATGAGCTTTAAACCAAATGTTAAAAATGTTATTACCTCCTCAAAAATATACCTGGAGTTGTGTTTTGTTTCATTCACACATGTTTGAGTAACCCTTTATTATCAAGGGTTACTCAGACATGTTATTATATTATGCCTGTTCATCAGTAGAGCTTTGTGTTTGTGTGTTAAACGTGTGTGAATTAATTAAAACAACACAGCTCAGGTTTGTTTTTGATGAGGAAACATTATAACATAGATCAGAAAATAGTGTAATATGGGTCCTTTAAATTCAAAGAGTAAAATAAAAGAACAGATTACAAATGTAGGTCTATTGGTAGTTCTGTGAGAGTTATTCTTACATGATCCAGCTCGTTGAGACTTGGAGGACATTCTGATGGCACTTGACACACACAACTGGGCTTATTGTCTTCATCCAGTTTGCACCTTTTCCCACGTTTACAGCGGAAGGAGTCACATGGGTCTTCTACACAAACAACAGAAAATATGAATGAACTTTTTCACCTTTTGTATGGGGAAAAAAACATGCACTTTCTTTTATTTACTCAGTTGTACCAAATCAGAATGTAAGCGTGGGTGATAAACCAACAAGCATTCATACTTTGCAGTGACATCATGCTGGGGGTGTTCTGTAATGGGTTAGGGTTTCTATTGGCAGAATGTTCAGCAGTTTCCATGGTGTCATAAAGCACACATTAGCAAGCACAGACAAAAAAAAGTTTTAAGATCGTCTGAAAACTCAAGAAAACATACAAAAAGGGTTTAAACAACAAATTTTCAGAGAGACTGTTAACAATATGAGCATTCATGGGCCTGTTTAGGAGTTTGATTTTCAACAAAAAGCTGTGACGATATAGGCCCAGCTCTACCCGAATGCTATAACCACTTTTTACATCCCACACATTCCACTGGCATTCGTGTTGCTTCTGTGATTTGAGTTCACTGATCTCTCTCATTGACTCTTAAGCCTGTTCAGGTTGTGTTGTAGCAGTGACCGAGGATCAGAACGTTACTGCTCATGTGGAAGTTTGAGTGGGAAGTGCCAGTCAGCAGATTCTGGGCTGAGATTGTTGGGACAGTGTGCTGTTTTGGGACTATGGTGCTCACTGCTGCTGAACGGGGGCGGTGCCAGACATTTTCGGTTGAAGGAGCTAAAGGGGTGCTAAATTCTTAAAGGTGCATTATGTAACTTTTCTGGCGGAGGATCTGCCACCTGCTTGTCTCGATGGAGATGTTATTGGCTCTATTCACGCTTACGTCACAGACCAGGAAGACGATTGGAAACATGCAATGACAACTTCTGGTGTAGTTGCTGACACTGGGCTGGCTGACCGACTGTGATAAAACCCAATGAAATAAATATGATCAGCGGTAAAATGAAGACTCCATACGTATGTGTTGTTTGGAATAATCTTGAATTTGGCGCCCTCGTCTCTTCTGTGTCAGTGGGGAAATGATGAAAACCGAAGTATGGTTGTAACAGTTGATGAGCCGAACATAACGGAAAGCTCCAGTGACATATAGGTGAAGAAAACTGGGACATTTTCTCATTTTTCCTAGATTTTGTCAGACTTACAACTGCGAATAGAGCCCGCTGGAAGTTTGTCATCGTATGTTTCCCAACTTCTTCCTGGTTTGTGACGTAAGTGTGAATAGAGCCTATTGCTTTGTCTGGAATTTCAAGGTATGGCTTTAAACCTTCTATCATCATGGAGACCAAACCAAGTTAAAAGTCAAATCTGTGGAGAGGCAACTAGCTCACAGTCAGAATATCTGTTTTTCTAGGTATTTTTGAGCAATAAAACCACCTGCAATTGAATAAATGTAAGGTAGATCAGTTTAATGTCATATAGTGGAACATTCCAAGCAGAGCAACAACATCTCCACAGAGAAAATAATGTGACGGACCACCACAATGCTCCTTTAACATGTTAATTTAGAGCCTTTTATGGATGTGAGTACACGCCTACATCCTACCATATTTATAGTGCTGTTTTATAAAAGTTTAAATGAAGTTCGCCAATGTAGTGATTTATAAACCCTAATATGGATTTATTGTTTTATTGTAGTTTCATTATGAACAGTCTGTGGTTACCATTTAAACATTTTTAGTGGAGATTTGATGTTAATCTTTGGGGGAGCTATAGGTGCATTGCCTGCTCAAGCCCAACCCCTGTTGCTGACACAAATAATTTGTCACAGAAATTACAATATCAGGTTATCGCTCGATACATGTTAGATGGAACAGTAGTTTTTGGGGGTCAGTATTTATCACGTGGACTTTTTCTTTGTACTAGTTGGGAATTTTTTTGGTTATTTCTCTGTTCTAGGATTAAGTTTAAATAGAGTTTGTTTGAGTCTAAGTTTACAGGCCTGAATAAATAACTGACTCACTATAGATAGAAACTAACTACATAAGTATTTCATTCTGTGTTCATTTATTGCAGTTTGCGTTTATTAACCATATTATACAGTTTTTAGGGATAATCCTTTCGTGTTATTGTGTCAGTAGCTTAAATTAGTTTCAGCATTATCGTTTATCATCAATATTTTTTTCAGCAATATGTCATGCTTCAAAATCTGTTATCCTGACAGGCCTAGACACAAACTGACCAGAGGCTTCAAGGTCCTGGGTGACTCCTGCCAGAGCCGCCCGTGAGCTGGGGTAGAGCTCCACTGTGGCTCTGATCTGCACTGGATTCACACCCACCAGAGGCCCCTGAAAAGTGAAAGAAATCCAAAGTAATTATATTGAGACTTTGCAGCTAATGTCAACAATAGGGATGTAACAATGACCGAAATATCATAGCGTGAAAGTTCTCACAATAATATCGTGGACCATCACAATATATCGAATTACAAGTCTCTTTGCTTAAATTAAGAGTTATGGCACATCAACAGCTAAAAAAAGAGTGAGAGAAATACATAGACCATAATCCTTTGCTCCATTTCAGGGTACAGTGACTACAAGAAGAAATAACAGTTCTAAGCACTTTTAAGTCTTAGTTCTTTGGATTAAGTCTCGTCAAGACATTTTAAGATGAAAAAGTAGCATATTAACATTTTAGTTTGCCTCCACAAAATATCGCAATAAATATTGTACTGTGAGATGTATATCGTGAAAATATTGTTCTGAGAGATTTGGATATTGTTACATCGTGTGCCTCCCCACCATATCGTGAGCATTTCCACAATATTGCAAAAAATATCGTACTGTGACGTTCATACCGTGATGATATCGTATCGTGAGACTTGGATATTGTTACACCCTTAGTCAACATTGCTCTATTTTGGCAGTATTCTGTCCGAAGCTTTGTTACTTAAGTTTTTAAGTCTTTGTTTTTAACAGTATCTGTCCAGAAAGAGCTGGTTTAGTGGGAAGTACAACAGGTGAGCTGATAATTGTACTGTTAAACAAGTCTCTCACACACATGAAATTACAGTCACATGTTGGCGACCATGACAGTTTTTCATTTACTCTCACCTTTTTGTTGAAAATCAAAACTCAACTGGACCATGTATGCTATTTTTTTTCTTGAGGTTTCAGACTATTTTACTTTTTTTTTGGCGTTGTTTGTGCATTGTGTTGCTAAACATTCCACCTTAGAGATACATGTAGAACGCCCCCAGCGTGACGTCACTGCAAAGTATCAATAGTTTACGCTCTACATTATTCCATCCATCCATCCATTTTCGTCCGCTTATCCGGGGCCGGGTCGCGGGGGCAGCAGCCTAAGCAGGGACTCCCAGACTTCCTTCACCCCAGACACGTCCTCCAGCTCCTCCGGGGGGACCCCGAGGCGTTCCCAGGCCAGCCGAGAGACATAGTCCCTCCAGCGTGTCCTGGGTCTTCCCCGGGGCCTCCTCCCGGTGGGACATGCCCAGAACACCTCCCGAGGGAGGCGCCCAGGAGGCATCCGGAACAGATGCCCGAGCCACCTCAACTGGCTCCTCTCGACGTGGAGGAGCAGCGGCTCTACTCCGAGCTCCTCCCGTGTGACTGAGCTCCTCACCCTATCTCTAAGGGAGCGCCCAGCCACCCTGCGGAGGAAACTCATTTCGAGCGCTTGTATCCGCGATCTCGTCAGCTCCCTCTTCACCACAACGGTCCGATACAGCGACCGCATCACTGCCGAAGCTGCACCGATCCGCCTGTCAATCTCACGTTCCGTCCTTCCCTCACTCGTGAACAAGACCCCGAGATACTTGAACTCCTCCACTTGAGGCAAAGACTCCCCACCCACCCGGAGAGGGCAAGCCACCTTTTTCCGGTCGAGAACCATGGCCTCAGACTTAGAAGAGCTGATCCTCATCCCAGCCGCTTCACACTCGCTGCAAACCGCCCCAGTGCACATTGCAGGTCCTGGCTTCGATGAAGCCAACAGGAACAACATCGTCCGCAAACAGCAGAGATGAAATCCTGTGGTCCCCAAACCGGACCCCCTCCGGCCCCTGACTGCGCCTAGAAATTCTGTCCATAAATACAATGAACAGAACCGGTGACAAAGGGCAGCCCTGGCGGAGTCCAACATGCACCGGGAACAGGTCTGACTTACTGCCGGCAATGCGAACACAGCTCCTGCTCCGGTCATACAGGGACCGGACAGCCCTTAGCAAAGGGCCCCGGACCCCATACTCCCAGAGCACCCCCCACAGGACACCACGAGGGACACGGTCGAATGCCTTCTCCAGATCCACAAAACACATGTGGACTGGTTGGGCAAACTCCCATGAACCCTCGAGCACCCGATGGAGAGTGTAGAGCTGGTCCAGTGTTCCACGGCCAGGACGAAAACCACACTGCTCTTCCTGGATCCGAGGTTCGACTATCGGCCGGATTCTCCTCTCCAGTACCCTGGCATAGACCTTACCGGGAAGGCTGAGGAGTGTGATCCCCCTATAGTTGGAACACACCCTCCGGTCCCCCTTCTTATACAGAGGGACCACCACCCCGGTTTGCCAGTCCAGAGGTACTGTCCCCGACCGCCACGCGATGTTGAAGAGGCGTGTCAGCCAAGACAGCCCCACAACATCCAGAGACTTAAGGTACTCAGGACGGATCTCATCCAACCCCGGAGCCTTGCCACCAAGGAGCTCTACATTATTGTCGTTCTTATTTTTAGAGTACATAGGTAATAAACTGATCTGATATATTTATTTTATATTTATTTTATTTCTATCTCAAAGTGAAGAGTAGTTTTTCTACATGTTACCATAAGTTGTCACAAGTCTGTGGAGTGTTAGGCTCAGCTTCCAGGTTTGGTAAGTGGAGTGATTTCATCAGGACATAATATTTTAGTATATTAGTAATTGTAATTTTAAATCTAACCAGTTATAGAATTAGAAAAGACATTAAAGTGCCCATATTATGCTATTTAATAATAAATGTTATAATGTTGTTTCCTGAAAAACAAACCTAGAGTTGTGTTTTGTTTCATTCACTCCTGTTTAACACAAAAATGCATATTTATATTTACCGTAGTTCCTCTCTCAAACAGATGTTTCACATTTGGTGTCCTGTGGTAATTTAGGAAGTGCTCCACTAGGTTTTTAAACTCCACACACCTTCACTAGAATCATTTGGATCATTTCAACCCAGGAATTGCCAGTCTCAACTGAGATAAAGGTAAAAGGAGCTGTTTGAACTTGAAAACTACCACTGCATGACAACGCAAGGCGGAACAGAGCATTTTGAGCTATGGAGATGTAACAGACTAATAATAAGGGTTTACTCAAACATGTGAATGAAACAAAACAACTGCAGGCATGTTTCTGAGGAGGTAAAAACATTATAACACGACTTAAATCTCACAATCTTCACATTTTGCGTAATATAGGACCTGTAAATATTGAATACTTTGACTATTTATACAGTACCCATTTGCCAGCCCTCCTCCTCTTAGTCTTGTGTGCTCCACTGTCAGTGTTTTTGCCTTCTGCCTGCACTGGCTGCTCTTTGGCTGGCTGGGGTGGGGTTGGCTCTGCTCCGATCTGGGCCTCATCTTTCTGGGGGGAGTGCTTCTTGGATCTCTGGCTCTTCTGCTTCCTCTGCTTCTTCCTGCCTTGACCATCACTGTCATCCTTCCTCTCCTCATCCTCTCCCTTCACGGGCATGTCATTCTGAAACTCAGTAGCATCTTGTGACCCAGTATCCTCATTTTTGATTTCTTGATTGTCATTTTGTATTTGCATGGATTCATCATGTTGTTTTTCCTCAGATTTGTCTAACTGTTCAGTGTTTACTTCATCCACACTGGAGAGAAGTCTTTCCTCCATCTCCATCTTGGCTGGTAGGATCTGGACAGAGTCCAAACCAAATGGAATTTTGGATTCACCGCTGCTTTCCACCTCCTCAAACAATTTCTCTTGTTTAGCCTCGATTTTCTCAGTAGTCTCCTTCACTTGATCTACATCGTCCACAACTTCTTCCATTTTCTCTTTGGCATCATTTGTCTCAGAATCACCAGTGTCTTCTTCATCTGTTTTTATAAGAGACTGCAGTTCCTCTTCACTCATCAGAACAGCTCTGCCCTTAGACATCTCAGAGGGTGAATCTTTGCTCTCCTCCGTCGCTCCCTCATCTTGCTCCTGACTGTTTGCTTCATACGAGACTAATGTGGCCAAGGGTTGAGCCTGGGGGACCTTCTCTGTGGTGACATCCTTGATAAAATGAAAAAAAAAAACATAAAATGTATTTTTTTTAATTCACACTTAATTAAGTAAACTGTAAAAAATATGAAATTACCTTTGTTTTGTCATTATAGGATCTTTTGTGTAAGCCATGATGCTTAACACGTGGAACCCCTTTTACCTGCAGAAATAGAATTGTGATGGATTCATTTTATTAGGTACATACTTCCACATACAAAACTTGTTTCAACTATATAAAAATCTTGTACACTGTAACACTGATTTATTATGGAGATAATGCTATATTCTCACCAAAAAGATTGTCAAATAACCTACTGAAATACTTGCATAAAACATCAAGTTAATTCTTACCGCAAATGTTGCTGTCAGTAAGCAAATGAATACCAAGCAGGCCCTCATATCTGAAAGAGAGTGTAAACTGTAAACAATAAATTCAATGAAAATGGATCCTGTTTTACAGCCAAATTACTTGGCGCATCATTCAAAGCGAAGTAATTTGGCCGTATGCTGCGGACATGTCCATCATGTCGTTGTCATGGTTACTGGTGTGAGAGATGCGTCTCTCTGTGCGTCTCTCAAAGTCACATTCAAAGTCACATTCAGAGCCTGAGTAAACAACAGAAGGCACCAGACTGGAAGAAATTTGACTAAGTCCACAAAGTTTTTGTCCCGCTGGACAGAGACAAAGCCGACATTATCAGTCCCATCGACTGGGCGAAGGCACGCAGGGTTCACTGGAGCAGCCGAGTTAAACAAAACATGTGGAGTTTGCTGCAGGAAAAGTCACTTTATAATTGTGTAGTGTTGTAATAAATACTAATAACAGTGAATGTAGTTTGTAGGTACAGCAACTGTTTTTTACACAAAACAGACTCTTGTAAGCTTTAAGCCATGTTAAAATGTTACTTTATCAAAATCATACCTGGACTGGTGTGTTTCATTCACACATGTTTGAGTAATCTTCTATTATTAGTCTGTCTACATCTCCAAAGCTCAAAACACTCTGTTCCACCTTGTGATGCATTGCAGTGGTAGTTTTCAAGAAAACTGCTACCTTTTACCTTTAGTTCAGAAGAAATGAGCAATTCCGGGTCTGAAATTGTCCAAATGATTCCAGTGAGAGTGTATGGACTTTCAAAATGCAGTGGAGCACTTCCTGTTTCATCACATGACATCACAAGGTGGTTGTTGGTTAGATAAACTGGGCCTAAATATGTAGTGTGTTAAAGATGTGTGAATGAAACAAAACACAACTCCAGGTATGTTTGTTATGAGGAAATAACATTATAACATAGATCAAAGAAAATAATATATGCCCTTTAAATGAATATCCAGGCTTAGGATCTGGCCTATGAACTCTGAAGACTGTTACACATTGTTTTTATCAAAGACTAATAATTGACTTAAAGTTTCTTTTATGTCAATGTAATGTAAATAAAAATAACAAAGGCTGCAGATTTAATGTAAATAAAATGAAAATAATTGGCTTTAATAATTTTAGGTAAGCAACAAATGTGCAAAGTATCAGTATTTTGACAGACCAAATTTTAACACAAATCATACTTAAGGTTACCAGCAAAAATATTATTTATATTAGATTTGATTAGTGCACAAGAGGAAGCCAAATAACCACAACAAGCAGATAATAAAAATATGTCAGAGATTAGTTACAAGTAAAATGAGATGTTTTACCTGAGGCTGGCTGTAGTAGAGTAAACCCACAGCTGTCTGAACTAGAGTCTGTGAAGCTTCTGATGTGCCCCCTCTGTCCTCACAAACCGGACACGGACCACCACAGTTACACACACACTCGGACCACTCAGGCACAGGGGTCCTACTGCACACACAGTGACATAGACTGTGGTGTGCTTGAGATGAGTGAGGAAGGACTTACTTTTAAAGGTCTTGGTAACACTTTATTTTAGGGTAAACTTATTAACATCTAACTACCCGCGCATTAGCAAAGCAGTAAATGGTTCATTAATTAGTATTTATTCAGCCCTTATTAATGTCTAACTACCCATAAGTTTATTCTACTATTAGTTAGACATTTACAAACACTTTCCAGTGAATACACTCATTATTACTTATTAATATGATACTAGGCCATTTTTGTCCATAAATTATGATTCTAATAAGCTTTTGGTGCAAATATGTAAAAATTACATTTCTTGTGGTGTTAGTCATTAACAACACTAACTTATTAAAATCATAATTAATATACAAAAATGGCCTAGTGTCATATTAATAAGCAGTAATAAGGAGTGTATTAATAGTGTAAATGTCTAATTAATAGCAGAATACTATTGGGAATTAGACATTAATAAAAGATAAATAATTACCAATTAATGACAAATGAACCATTTACAACTGTTCTAATTAGGTAGTTATATGTTAGTAAGGGTACCCTAAAATAAAGTGTTACCAAAGTCCTATATTACACAAAATGGACTCGTGTGAGCTTTGAGTCATGTTAGAATGTTGTTACTTCATCAAAAACATACTTTGAGTTGTGTTTTGTTTCTTTCGCACATGTTTGAGTTAATTCTGCTTTATTAGTCTACATCTCCAAACCTCAAAATGCTATATTCCACCTTGTGAAACAGTAGTTTTTCAAGTTAATTGCTACCTTTTACCATTTGTTCAGGCGAGTCTGGCATTTCCAGAGCTGAAATTATCAAAATGATTTTAGTGAAGGTACATTTAGTTTAAAACACAGTGGAGCATGTCTTCCTGTATGTGAGAGAGTGTTTTCTGTTTTCCTAAATATGCGGGCTTTGTGTGCTAAATATGTGGGAATAAAACAAAACACAACTCTCCAAGTATGTTTGTGATGAGGAAACAACATTATAGCTTACATCAGAAAATAGCATAGCATGGGCCCTTTAATGTTTTGAGCTCTAGATGTCACTGTGGGACAGAGCAGTTCCCTTGTGGCATGTAGTTGTAAATGTATGTGCAACAGTAAATGTGGTTATTGTTTAAAGATAGAGCAGACTGCTTTTAATAGATAAAGATAATTACGTATCTTCTCTTATGTTGCTTTCTTTCCTCTGGTTTATGTCTTATTATGTCCCCAAGCATATTTCCAATCTTTTATTAAGAAATTATGGGGTTTTCTCAGACTCTCAGATTTGGCCTGTTTAAATCCAGGCTCAAAAATCATCTTTTCATACTTTTAACACTCAATAATGCAGTGACACTTCTTATAATTTGTTTTATTTAATTATTTAATGTTGTGTGTGTGTTTTTATATTGTGTTGATTTTATTAGAAAGCACGTTGGTCACCTTGAGTGATGTAAAGGGCTCTATAAATAAAGATTAATTGATTGATTTAACTGGCACTTAGGGAAAACAGAATTTACAGATCTGTGAAATGTAGTGGTGGATGTAGTACTCAGTGTTGTTACTTATGTAAAGTAAGTACAGATACAGAGGCAAAAAGTTACTCAAGTAAAAGTAAAAGTATCATATGAGAAAATCTACTTAAGTAAAAATAATAAAGTGCCTGTTTAAAAATATACTTTAAGAGTAAAAAGTATTTTGTAGATATTTTTAGTACAATTTAAATATGAAACTGAATGATTTTGATAAAGAATTTGGCTAATTTTAAATGATTCACTTGATGTTTTAATTTTTCTTGCTGTTTTTGTGTTTTTAGTTTGCTTTTTTGGAACGGAAACTCAAATTAAATGTGCTAAAAATAAGTCAGCTGTCTTAGCAGGTCTCAGATCATAAAGAAATAAAAGAAAAGTACTTTCTTTTTTACTTTTCAATCCAGATCTAAAATGTAGTGGAGTAGAAAGTACAGATAGACATTCTCTAATGTAGAGAAGTAAAAGTAAAGTATCCACTGTAAAATGGGCTTAAGTAAAATACACATACTTAAAATTTGTACTTAGATATTGTACTTTTACTTTTGTCCTTTGTTACCTTCCACTGCTGGCCAAACGTGATCTTTCTGATGATAACACACTCCTGACACAAAGTGCATATGTCAGGTTAGACTCATTTCAATTAAACATGGTTAACATTATTATATTTAAGACTTTAGTTCAGTCTGGTTCCCACGCCCTCTGTCGCGTCTCAAGCCTGCAAACGTGCTCATGCACTCAAATCATTTTTTTTTTTTTTTCAGTGATGCATGAGAAACGAATGAACTCAGTGGCCCCATATAATTTACAAATAAAATCAAATTTACTAATGTCTCACCTCAGAATAACAGAGTGTAGTGCTGTGCTCATTGATTCTGCAGAAATCTGTGTCATTTTTCAGTCCCCTGTGATATTTTTTTCCTTTATTTTTTCCAATATGCTGGACAATGCATGTCCCTGATTGGCTTATCCACCTGTCAATCACGCCCATCTGATCAGATACGTATCTTGTAAGTATTGAATAAGTGTGTATTCTGAATCCCAGACTAGTTTACTATAGCCAGGCTGGCGCCACCTAGTGCCTCCGCTCAATTTCATTTCTCTCCAGCAACTAGGTCAGGAATCGGAATACACTAGACCAGGGGTCTCAGACTCGCGGCCCGGGGGCCAACTGCGGCCCGCGGAAGGATTTTTTGCGGCCCTCCACTTGATTCCAAAGAATAATGTCAGTGCGGCCCGCGGTAGATGTACGCACAATCCCACCCCCCTACCGCGGGCCGCACTGACAGATGAAGCTGCAATCGGTGCCCATGCAGATTCACAACAGATTATTAACGCAGTTTACATCCCAAAACTCAATTTACAGCAGTTGTGAAGCAACGAGTCTAAGTGGATCTGTTAATACAAGTACACGCGCACATACGGCGTCACGAAGAACCAAAACAAACCACACATGACACGTGTGCGCACTTCACTTTACGCTCCCACAACCACAGTATCAGAGCGCAGAGGAGGCGCTGACAGAATTCCCCTGTTCATAAGTATGGGACCTTTATTGGAGGGGCTAATAAGAAATAAAAAGACATTGACAGTCTGTTTACCTGTTCAACACTCGGTGCGTAACTTGCTGGCAACCCGATGACCAAGCTCCACATATGTGTCGCCGAAATCCACGCGCACTCAGCGGCAAACACAGCTGTCCCATCAATATGCAAGCACCACAAAACTGCAGTGATCTATTCCAGAGGCTTGGCGACATGTTAGCAAAAAGTACGAGGCAAAAACAAGCGTCTTCCATCCGTGTTTGACATACGAGAAGCAGATACACTCCAGTGTGGTGCTTTCACACCGGCAAACGAACCAAAACTGGTCCGATTAACGAGCCTCTGTATCCCGGTAGAACAGTGATATCTCCAGTAACCAATACTGATGTTCCCTGTTAATACCGCGGGCGTCCTCATCTTTATCACCATGAACTCATAAAACAGCAACATAGAACTTTCACCGCAACTCACCGCATCAGCCCAGAGTTCGGGTAACAGCAGCAGCCAACAGCGCTCACAGTAGCGCGCAGCTCCTCAGGACGGGGCTGGGGTCTGGTCCTTGGTCTTCTGTCGTCCTACAAGCGCGTTGGTCAGATGGTCCGGAGGCTCTGTCCTCCATGTGCTGGTTCCAGACGGTGGCGAGCAAGACCAGTGCGCAATGACTGGGTCTGAGCGGGTACGTTCCGCCGTCTGCGCGCTGGTTCCGTGTTCCGTGCGGGGAAAGTGAGAATGCGCTGTGGACTACACCTACAGGTCTGTGCTGCTCCTGTCCTCCGCGCTCAAGAACCGCGGCTGGTTCCGAGGTGGTGCAAAGCATCCGGACAGAACGTGAATCCAGTTTAGTTGGTGTCCGCATTTGGTTCTTCCCGGGAAAAGCGCTTTTCACTCCCCGCTCCACGTCATCTGAGCCCGGACAGAACCGGAGCTGCTCCTGCTGGTTCGGGACTCTGGTTTGGATCTAGTCCGACTGTATTTCTCACACTAGGCTAAAAGCAGGACATTTTTTAAAGGTGAATCAATCGAATGGGCGATTGCCTATTGCCATAAAATTATTTGGTTAATTAAAGCCTAAAATAACAAATGCTGGTTCCTACATGATCACGGGGAACACCGGGACCTCTGTGCAGGTCCTGCAACAGAAGTACACACCCCCATTTTTGACTCACTCTGGAGCCACACGTTCGCACGTGCTTGCTTTGATCTTCGTGTATTACATTCTCTGTATTGGCCATTGTTGGTAAAATATTTCGAAAATGAATCGCGGCTGCGTCTGGACAACAATCTGTTACTGCGCTGGAGTCGTACAGCGCGTCATTACAGGCAGGAGACGCGTTTCTCCCATGATGCATCTAGAATAGTTCGTTTGGACCTGCTGTCTGTGGTTTGGACCCAGGTTCGCGTTCACACCAGAAGAACCGCACCAAAGTTGGTCATTTGGTGCGGATTCAAGCGAACCGAGACCACCTCTTTTTTGAGGTCTCGGGGTGTTTTCACACCGAAGTATTTTGGTGCGCACCAAACGGTCCATTCGAACCAAAAGTGGTTAGTTCGGTTCGTTTGCGTTGGTGTGAAAGCGTCAATCGGACTCGGACCGAACCAAATCAAGCGGACCGAGACCGCAAAAAAGAGGTGGTCTCGGTTCGCTTGAATCCGCACCAAATGACCAACTTTGGTGCGGTTCCTCTGGTGTGAACGCGAACCCGGGTCCAAACCATAGACAGTATGGACAAACGGACTATTCGAAATGCATCATGGGAGGGAACGCGTCTCCTCTGCCTGAAGTGACGCTGTACGACTCCAGCGCAGTAACAGGTTGTTGTCCAGACGCAGACGCGATTCATTTTCGAATCATTTTACCAACAATGGCCAAAACAGAGAATGAAACACACGAAGATCAGAGCAAGTATCAGTGTGCGAACGTTGTGGCTCCAGAGTGAGTCAAAATTGGGGGTGCGTACCCCCTGTTCGGGACCTACACGCACAGAGACGACCCGGTGTTCCCCGTGATCACACAGCAACCAACATTTGTTATTTTAGGCTTTAATTAACCAAATAATTTTATGGTAATAGGCAATCGCCCATTCAATTGATACAACTTAAAAAAGTCCCTGCTTTTAGCCTAGTGTGAGAAATACAGTCGGACTAGATCCAAACCAGAGTCCCGAACCAGCGGGGGCAGCTCCGGTTCAGGCCGGGCTCAGAGGAGCTGGAGCGGGAGCCTCGACCTGAGGAAGCCCGTCCCCGGGAAGAACCAAATGCGCGGAGGACGGACGCTCAGAACAACATATAACAAACCAAACTGGACTCACGCTTCTGTCCGGATGCTGCACCACCTCGGAACCAGCCGCGGTTCTTGAGCGCGGAGAACCGGAGCAGCGCGCCCGGACCTGTAGTCCACAGCGCATTCTCGCTTTACCGCACAGAAACCAGCGCGCAGAACGACGGAACGTACCCGCTCAGACCCAGTCATTGCGCACTGGTCTTGCTCGCACCGTTTGGAACCAGCATATGGAGGATGAAGCCTCCGGACCAATCTGACCAACGAGCTTGTAACAGACCAAGGACCAGACCCCAGCCCCGTCCTGAGGAGCTGCGCGCTACTGTGAGCCTGTTGGCTGCTGCTGTTACCCGAATCTGGGCTGATGCGGTGAGTTTTGTAGTGGTGAAGTTCTACATGTTGCTGTTTTATGAGTTCATGTGATAATTTGAGATGAGGACGGCCCGTGGTCAGGAACATCGGTGTTGATAACTGGAGATATCTCTGTTTTACCGGGGAAACAGAGACACGTGAATCGAACCAGTTTTGGTTCGTTTGCCGGTGTGAACGCGGACCACACTGGAGTATTTGCTACATAATAACAATTTTATTGCATGGTGCGGACCAAATAATCGAACGAGCGGTGTGAAAACTCGGTCCGCTTGAGTTGGTCCGGGTCAGAGTCCGATTGACGCTTTCACACCAACGCAAACGAACCGAACTAACCACTTCTAGTTCGAATGGATCGTTTGGTGCGCACCAAATACTGTCGGTGTGAAAGCACCTAATACAGGTCAAGGCTCACTGATGAGTATCTTCAATCTATCCTGAGGATCTCATACGCTTCCTCCTGCAAGCCAAATATCTCTCAGCTGTACGAGATGAATCGTTGCCAGGTTTCAACCAGCAAGGAGTAGGCAAAAGAAGAAGAGTAGACGTATTAGTTTAAACTTACGTTCTGAATACATTTTCATGTTCTGAACTGTTATTAAAGATTAAGAAAGTGTGTTGCGTGTTGTTCTTTCTCTCTCTCTTTTCCCGTGCAACCGCTATTTATCGAATACTCAATGCGGCCCAGCCTCACTCAGACTTTATCTAATGTGGCCCCCAGGTAATTTGAGTTTGAGACTCCTGCACTAGACGGTATGCAAGAACTCCGGAAGTGCAAGTCCAGGCACCAGCCAATCAGCGAAGAGCCATACATTCTGTGTTGGTAACGATTCTCAAGATCGAGGTTTTAAAGCCGGAACAAAGAGAATGTTTGGTGAATTTTATCAAGGGGAAAGACGCTATTGGCCCTTCTCCCTACCGGATATGGGAAAAGCTTAATATATCCCCTCATAGCCCCTTTAGTGCCGCATTACAGACCAAACAGCAGCAATTGGCAATTAATTAAATTAAAAAGTACCCGCTTGCCGTCGAGTGAACAAATCCTAATTCTGCGAGGTCAGATGGTTTCTATGAAGTGAAACCTGCTGACGAATCAGGCAAAATTTCCTATAGCAACAGGTCAGAAAATTATGACAATGCCTTTATTTATACCTTTATTTTTTACTTTATTTTATTTTATCAATGACTAAATTGTTAGAAAATGTTGTTTCTTGTTTTTAATTTGTCTCTGCATTTTGGTTTTCTGTGTTAATGACATAGATAAAGGTATACTGTTTTAGAAGTCAGTGGTACTTCCTGTAGTTTAGTATGTTTCTTTTCAATTTTTTTTTCCCACAAACTGCCACTTGACTGACATAAAACTATGATACATATTTAGCACAGGTACTATCCCACCAAACCGAGTAATAATAATAAAAAAAGAAAACTTTAAAGGTGTACTATGTAACTTTTTGGTTCGGGGTCTGTCACCTGTTTGTTTCTATGAATTTGTCATTGCTCTGGCTGAAATGTTCCACAGTATGACATGAAACAGCTCCACTTTACATTTATTAACAAACTGCCCAGAAAAAAAGGCATTCTGACTGTGAGCTGGGTCACCTCTCCACAGATCTGACCTGTTACTTGGTCTGGTTTGGTCTCCATGAAGTTAGAAAGGTGATACCATACTGTGAAACATTCCTGACAAATCAATACCCATGGAGACAAGCATTTGATGGACACTCCACTAGAAAAGTTACATAATGCAGCAATGGTCAATAAATTCAGTGGTGGCTGAAGTAGGGAAGCTTTTTTTTTTTTTCTCCACTTTTGTTTTTAGCATTTTGAAAAACAGGTACGATTGGTAACACTGAGACTGGGATGTTTGGACCAACTTTTATAACCTTTTTATATTTTTAGATTAGAGATTAAGCAACAAATGTGCATAACTAAAACAATTTAAAAACTGAGTCCCATAAACAGGCATCAATCTTCTCTGGCCTCCGCCTTTCAGTGCAGCAGAGCCCTCCAGCGCTGGTAACTGTGGTTTGGGCAAACAGCTCCAGACTGGTGAATATACACTCTAATTACAGGTCTCTTTACCATGGTGGAAATCCAGTGTGAGGTTAAACAAGGAATTCTGTAACCTTATTTTAAGCTTGGCCATATATGGGCATCCAGGAAGCAATTATGATGTTCACAGAAGTATTTTTTTCAGACGTTACTGTACAAGCCCTATTTCTAAGAACGACCCAATTTTAAAGCCAAAAATATAAAACTGGGTAGAAATTATATTTCTGATGTTTTCAAAGCCACTGCGTGGAGACGGGTGCAGAAGTCTGTCGTGGAAAAGTATAATAGTCACATTACATAAGCATGAGACATTACTTAATAAAACTGAAGTAGTCACTGTCTAAACAAGAAAAGTCCTAATTGGAGCGGAAACAAGCGTGACCCTGCCTGGCCCTCCTTTCCTCTCTGAGTGGGCGAGAGTGTTTTTTCACTAGGCCACAAACCCTGTGGTTGACGATGCTAAACTATATTTCACATTTAAGGCTGACAGGGAGGAGAGAATTTAGTGTCTGAATGAACCAGCCCAGTGTGTTTATGCAAGTTCAATTATCGTCTGCTTTCTATTTTGTGTGTGTTTCCAGCTCTTTCTCAAGGAAAAAAACATCTTCTGATGTTGGCAGGGCACAGACACCCGGAAGGAAGTGATGCAAGCATCTTAATGGGCTTTACATATATACAGAGGGCTGGGGCTCCTCAGCATCACATCCACAGACGGGCTCTGATTGACTGGTACTGCTCTGAAAGGACAAGTGTTTCATCACAGAAGTACTTCATCACCAAAGGATCCTTAGCGCAGAAAACAGGTAAATCACAATTTATGCTCATATTCAGTAATATTAATGAGACTGTGGTTGTAACTTGAATTTCTTTCATTTGCAGAATGAACATTTTCCTGATATCCGTTTGCCTTTTCTGTGCTGTCTTTGCAAACCCAGTAAGTATATTCTACACAAAGTTTGTATACAATTTCATACTTACATTGTATTTTGAACAGTACTGATAAGATGTTGGTACTTGGAGGTCATTAATGACCATGAGGAGTAGGAGAAATGTTATGTCAAACTGACAAATCAATCACAACGTATACAGGCCATTCAGCCACATCTCTAGTGACTTACAGCAGTGTATTTCATTCATATCAAAAATAGACTCCGTAGTGCCGCTATTTGCATAATTTTCAGATTATAACTGTTTAAATAAACATTTTCCTCATCTTGTGTTTTCTTTTAGATTATCAATTTAGATTTGGATTCACCAGCACTAGACAAAAACACGGTAAGATGTCTTTATTTTAACCATGCACTGCTCTATGTAACTGTTACATTGAGTTTATTTTACTGTAAACCATTGGAAAGCTGTGGTTTTGCTGATCTCCCACACGTGTCTTGTTTACTGTGTCTGGGCCATTTCGCAGTAATACTTGGGCTTGGGCAACATTTCAATGAATGGATTCTGTTCATATGATTTACTGTGTGATTGCAAAGATGGACCTTAAATGTTCTTTGGCAGCTATAGGATATAATTACCCATGTTGTGGTTTTGGCTAATTGCATGTTTCTATCTTTTTAGACAGAAACTTTGTTGGTTGCACAATCATCTGGAAATGACACCTCAGTAAGTATCTTAGTTCAGGTGAAAGTCTGATTTAACTTTTACTCTTTTTTTCTCATTTTGAATAGTTTGATTGGTTTGGTGTCTGTTGCCTTCATGGTGTAATTTTAACTTTTTATTTTTCAGAGTTCAGCGTCAGAATCATCAGAATCTGTAGAATCTCCATCCAGTGAGAATGTGAGTTGAGAAACACATGATTAATAACAATAATTAATTTGATCTGAAACTGATTTAACTTTTACTCTTTTTTTCTCATTTTGAATAGTTTGATTGGTTTGGTGTCTGTTGCCTTCATGGTGTAATTTTAACTTTTTATTTTTCAGAGTTCAGAGTCAGAATCATCAGAATCTGTAGAATCTGCATCCAGTAAGAATGTGAGTTGAGAAACACATGATTAATAACAATAATTAATTTGATCTGAAACTGATTTAACTTTTACTCTTTTTTTCTCATTTTGAATAGTTTGATTGGTTTGGTGTCTGTTGCCTTCATGGTGTAATTTTAACTTTTTATTTTTCAGAGTTCAGAGTCAGAATCTGTAGAATCTGTAGAATCTGCATCCAGTGAGAGTGTGAGTTGAGAAACACATGATTAATAACAATAATTAATTTGATCTGAAACTTTAAAACTGTAGATTTTAATGTTGTTCTGTGCCTTGTGTCTTGTTTGCAGACACCAGAAGAAAGTGACTCAGTTGAATCCAACGAGGTATGTTGGAAACTTATTTCCTTATGAAATATTGTTCGCTACAGGTCGGTATAATTGAGTAAATTGTCTACTGTTTTTTCTAGAACACTCAGATGTTGGTTGAAACAAGCGATGACAGCATGGCCAGTGAAGAGAATGTTAGAAAGGTAAGTTAACGTAATTAACTCTTCCAGGATCATTCATTTTTGTAGCAGGCTATAGCTGTAAATAAACCACTATGAATGTTTAAAGCTGCACTATGCAACTTTTGTGGTCTATGATCCACTGCATGCTTGTATCCTTTGCTTGGAAGGTTCTGCACTATGGTATTAAATTTACAATGTCTCTCCATGTAGACTAGCAGACCAAGTTGCAGCTCAGATCTGAAGAGAAACGTGTAGTCACAATAGGAATACATTTTTTGTAGATATTTTTGAGCAATAAAAATACCATAATGAACTATAATAGGCAGTATCCATGGAGAAAAGCAGTGTGGCCTCCACCAAAAAGGTTACATAATGCACGTTTTATAAATGTGAAGTTAAGAAATGTAATTTTCAGAAGTTTTGTTTGTTTTTCTGAGGCTCGCGTGTTGCTTTATTGGGCTGTAAACTGTTCAAAAGCCTGAACTTGCGTTTTTGTTTTCTTTTTAGAGCTGGGTACGAGTATTTGCGACAGTTGTTCGAGATGGTAGCGCAGAAGACAACAGCAGAGAAATGAAAGATCAGCAGCCAGAGAAGCTTAGCAAATTATCAGAAAAGCAGCCCATGATGGCCCCTACGACGAAGACTCTAAAACAGAGCGGAGTGTCGCTGCTCCAGAACGCCCAGGCCGTCAGTGAGACCAGCAGTGAGAGCTCTGAAAGCAACAACCACACGCCTCTCATCATGACCGCCACGGCAGACAGCAGCCAGAGCGCGAGCAGCGAGAGCAACGAGACCTCCTCATCCTCCTCATCCTCCGAGGCAGAGCCTGACAGCGTGCAGAGCTCCGAGAGTCACGAGGACAGCGACAGCGCGGAGATGAACCAGATTAAAAACTGTGTGAACGGAACCCAGAGCTGCGAAAGCGAAGAGTACGTGTTCCAGGACATAGGAGATGATGCCAATTACTCTGTGGACAACTTGATGGTGCTCGATGAGGACGACAGGGAGCTCAGCCTCAGAAGATAACATTATTCAAATATATGAACTGAGCAGTGATAATACGCATTAAACCATAGCCACTGTACGACCTGCCTGTAACTCAGAATGTCTTGTTTTCCCTGTTTTCATATGAAGTTTCACTTTCCACATTGTGCAAATATTTATGTATCAAAACATTTTCGTTTATGAATAAAAATGTGTAATTTATACTAACGCTGTTTGATTACGCGTTTTCTTTCAAGTATCATGATATAAGTGTGAACACTTTCTGGATGTGCGACACGCCACCTGCGTAATTCCACATTAAGTCAAACGTATACTTCGGAACCAAGTTCTCTATGGAGATATATTTAAGCCATACTGTGGGATATTTTGGCCAGAAGAACAATTCCATGGGGACAAGGTGGAGGTCATCCAAGTTAAATAAGCAAGTCCGCTTACAGTTGACTGTTTTTCAGTACAATGTAAAACCTACGACGGAGTATAAGGGTCAGATTAAAAAAAAATAAATAAAAAATGCTGGCGCTACGAGAATAAAGTCGTAAAATTTCGACATTAAAGTCGTAATATTATGAGAATAAAGTCGAAGTCAGAAAAAGTCGTAATTTTACGAGAATAAAGTCGTACTTTTACGAGAAAAAAGTCGAAGTTAAAATAAAGTCGTAATATTATGAGAATAAAGTTATAATATTACGAGAATGAAGTCGTAATAAAATCAAAGTCAAAGTGAAAAGTGCGGCAGAAGAAGAACCTTGTTTTTCAATATAAAACTAAAAATAAGAAAACGAACAATTTTCTTCATTATTTGTACCTCCGGACTGAACCAGGACTGAACCAGGACTAAACCAGGACTAAACGAGGTCCGAGACCAGACCGGGACTGAGACCAGAACTTAGACAAGGACTGAGTCAGGGACCAAGACTGAGACCGGGATCAGACAAGAACTGACAACGGTTTAGTCCTGGTTCGGTCTTGGTTCAGTCCGTATGCGGCGCAATAGCCCCGCATCTCATTTTAAAGTCACGTAAACGCCATTTCCCATTTCCGTGACTTAAACCAGGACTAAACTAGGGTTAAACCGTTTTCAGTCCTGGTCTGGTCTCGGTCTCAATCCTAGTCTTTCTGGTTTGGTTCCAGACTTGATTTAGTCCTGATTCAAGCTTGTTCAGTCGAATGAACGAATGATACACGGATTTTTCTCCTTTAGAAAATGCTCCAAATTCTCCATTCTCCACTCGTTCATACTTTCCGAGCAGCCTATATTCTCGTAATATTATGACTTTATTTTGACTATGACTTTATTCTAATAAAATTACTACTTTATTCTTGTAAGTTTACGACTTTATTCTCATAATATTACGACTTTAATGTCAAAATGTTACGACTTTATTCTCCTAGCGCCAGCACGTTTTTTTTTTTTTTTTTATCTGACCCTTATACTCCGTCGTAAAAAACAGCCAAAATGAACATGAACATGAACATTTTCAATGAAATGTTATACGTTAAAGCTTTAAATGCACATTTTTCAGCCACACTGCACATGGCCGGTTAGCTCAGTTGGTTAGAGCGTGGTGCTAATAACGCCAAGGTCGCGGGTTCGATCCCCGTACGGGCCAACTAGCTTTTTCGTGTTCAAAGTATATAGTACCCTCAAAGTAAGTAATGCCCCCTCAAAAGCATTTTTTATCAGTGCGTGGACGTATTCCGTATCGTAGTTTAAAAAATGTGCCCTGTCATTCTGATGTAAGTCATAAAAGCCTCACTAGGGGGAGACAAAGACAATAATTTCATTCACTTTCTTGATCACTGGGAAAACCTGCATAAAAAAATGTAAATTGCTAATTGTTTTTAAGTATATATTACAATTGTCAAGATGAGTCAGTAACAAAAGAAATTTAATTGAACAAAAAAAAAACAGCTGTGTAGTAAAAGTAACAGTTTTGAAATATGCTTTGAACCAATAAAAGGTCAAACAACTATAAACTATAACTATTATAATACAAAAACAATATCTGCATCACTCCTTGTCACTTAAATAGCTCAAACTGTGTTTCTTCAGAAGTGTGTCTTGAGATGTTCCTTTAGCGCAGGTATAGTCGAGAGCTCTCTGTGGCATATGTGACAGCGAAGAGGTAACTTCAGCAATTCACTGGTGCCTTCTTTAACACTGACTCTTCCATTTGATTCCAGCATGTGGAGAACATCTGTGGAAAAAAAACATAATCTAAATTACGGTGGTAAACATGATAACATTTTCAAAAATAAGTTGTATCCAGTTCAGTAAGATAAAACAAACACAAGTCTTTATTCTCACCCTTTGATTCAATAAAATATTCTGTGGTAAATGAATTCCAGTGTTTTTTGTTCTTTAGACAAGGCGAGTCAAAGTCCTGGCTGATCACATGAAGGTGAACATGGCTGAAAAAAGCGTAGAAATCAACAGTTTGCCACATCTGTGCTGGTTCTACAAAGGATATGTGTGTTTTAGTGAACCATAAAAATCATATAAACATAATAAACCCTTGAAAAACATGCACTCTTACTATGATCGGGGTTACGGGATCTGATCTGTAACTTGGCCTGATGACGTCACATGCTTTTTGCATGGAGAAAGACGCCATACTGTGGCACAATAATATCCTCTCCACTGAGACAAGCAGGTGACAGAGCCTCCACCAGAAAAAAATACATAGTGCACCTTTAAAATACCAACCTCATACTGGGGATGGCGTGGTAGCCCATGCGGAAGCGTAAGGAGTCAGACTCTGGGCACTGGAGAACCATCTGCTCCCCGATCTTGTGCATGTGCCTTAATAGATCACAATGCTCCTTGCGTAGGGCCTTCAGGTTGTGAACAGACTGCCACGGGAGAACCAGCCAGTGGTAGCGAGCCTTGGGGTATTTGTCTTTAATAACTACAACCGTCTCATCTTTATAGACCTGTAGACCAGATTTATTAAGATTAACATTTAAATAAATGATAAATGTAAGTAAAGCATACAACAAATCACATTACATAATGCAGTTTCATTATGAAATATAAAATAATGGAAGAAAATTGTAAAAATATCTTCTATTCTATTTCACTGTTTACTGTGCGACATTACTAACCTGCATCTTTGGGTCTTGCATGGACACTTTGAGACCTTGATTCCAATGTCCAAACCCTCCCTGAAACAAAATTGATAGTCCTCCACTGAAACCACTTTCCAGTGTTTTTTCTCAATATGTACATGCGTATATAGACTAAGCCTTTACCTTTTCACTTACATCATTCTGTGAAGTTTGAGCATGACATTCTGGCTGTACAGACTTTTCCTTTTCACATTTCTTTGATGTAATCAACCTTGTAGTTTGTGCATTAGTTTCTTTGTCCACAGGAATAGTCTCTCGTGGGCGTTTAACTCCACGCTGCTCACCACTAAGATCTTCTTTGAACTGTATGGTACAGGGGTAAAGCTCATTGACAATGTGCAGCCGCTGTCCTGGCTTCATCTTCACCTCATTCCCCTTCCCAATAACAACGGAGTCTACTGATGCTGGGTTTGAACCCAGCTTTGCAAACAAAAAACAAACAAACAAAAAACAAAGACAAACGATGTAATTAAACCTTACATGCAAATGTAAATGGTTTCAGATGAGCAGTCTCACCTGTTTAACTTTCACATAACCTTTGTTGCATTCTGCTTTCAGTTCAACTGATGATAAAATAAATAACACATACATAAATGAATTCTTTATGCTGATTCGTGTGTTACCCGTGGTGTTACTGCGTACCGCGTACCTTGCTGACGGGAACATTTTTTGTCTTTAATTGTTGTTTCTGGTCCTCGACCCAATACGACTGCATGCCAGTGAGGCAGCTGTATTGGTTTATGAAGGCCCTCCTCACTAATAAGCCAGCAAACTGACATTTTATCATCGTTTCCAGTCTGAAAATGCTTTATTATTTTGGCCACGCCATGCGTTTGTTTTGTTGGTTAAAATGATCGTCGCAGAGTGATGACGTCATTGGCAGCAGGGTTCATATATCGTGTCCTCCTTGTTGCTTAACAGCACATTTCTGAAAAGGTGTTACAGGCTCAAGTCTGTAGACTGAACCACTTACGATTAAGGTTAGTTAACAGGGAATAATACGTGTTTTATATGTTGATAACATGATTGGTACTAGGCCTGTATCTAGACTCGTTGGGAGGTTTTCTCGTTGGGCTCGGTAGCTCTTTGCCTTGTTAGCTCACGTGAATACAGTTTTTAATGGTTGTAAAAGACCTAATATTTCAGTTGTAATGCAAGAACGCCAAGTGTCACGTTACAGTCAACAATTTCTTGTTATTAGTTCGTTTATTTTTGTGGTTGTTGTTTTTCTGTGAGTTAATCTTGTTTTTACTTTACTAGCTGCACTTGAACGGAGAGAGTTAAGGGTTTCAAATTGTTTCGTTATGTTTTCATAGGTTAAAACTTCATGTATGTGATATTTTAAGGATTTTTCACCATCCAAAAGATATCATGATTTGTTTTAAATTGTTAATTGCTATGGCGAAAGTCCTCTTTTTTTCCCCATTGTGAAACCCACGGATAAAGCCAAATACTTAAATTATGCAAGCCTCTCCTTCTATTGTTTAGGCTTTCTAATAGAATTGCCTTATTTGCTTAAATGCTAATAGAGGTGTTAATATGATTAACCTTTTCTTTTTACATTCCTACAGCCTCACAAAAGTCAAACATGGTCAAAGAAACTGGTTATTATGACATATTGGGAGTAAGTCCCAGTGCGACTCCAGATGAACTGAAAAAAGCATACCGCAAAATGGCTTTGAAATACCATCCTGACAAAAACCCCACAGAGGGTGAGAAGGTGAGAGCAAGTCACATTTTGAGTATGGAAACTGGTCGCATGTGATTAATGCGTTTTAATTTCTATTATCTCACAGTTCAAGCAGATTTCACAGGCATATGAAGTGTTGTCAGATGCTAAAAAAAGAGACTTGTATGACCGAGGAGGTGAAAAGGCCATCAAAGAAGGTGGCACTGGGGGAGGTGGGGGTTTTGCATCCCCTATGGACATATTTGATATGTTTTTTGGAGGTGGCAGCCGAATGCACAGAGAGAGAAAAGGTAAGAGCTCATGAAAATTTATGCCACATCTGAAATGTGTCAGTGATGTGAACACAAATCTTAATTTTCAAAAACACCTAAAACACTATGTACTGTTGTACGATACTTAACTATTGTAGTCGTTTAAACAACTTAGCATTTCAATCATTTTCTTTTTTTAATTGCAGGAAAGAATATTGTTCACCAGATAAGTGTTTCTTTGGAGGACCTCTACAACGGTACAACAAGAAAACTTGCAGTCCAGAAGAATATGCTGTGTGAAAAATGTGAAGGTAGAGTTTTGCTTATTTGCTTCACAATAATGTAATCATGTTCTTTGGTGTGTTTTTTGGTGTTGTTATTTTTATTTATCTTATTTTCTTTTTGGTAAACATACATTTTCACAGTAGTATGTTATATTATTGAGTGAATATTTTTCATAGGTCGTGGGAGTCGTAAAGGCGCAGCACAGACATGTATGTCCTGCCAGGGGACAGGTGTGCAAGTTCGAGTCCACCAGCTTCTGCCAGGGATGGTCCAGCAGGTTTCCACCATGTGTCCCCACTGCGAGGGCCGAGGGCAAAGGATCAGTCATAAGGACCGCTGCAAAACATGTGCAGGCCGAAAGATCCTGAGACAGAAGAAGATCTTGGACGTTCATATTGACAAAGGTGAGAGTTGAGGTAATGATACTAGTGTTTAGAGCAGTGCTATATCTTAGGCTTCAATAATAGAAGTTTACTCTTTCAACAGGAATGAGAGATGGACAAAAAATAGTTTTTCATGGAGAGGGAGACCAGGAGCCTGGAATTGAGCCTGGTGATATAATCTTTGTTCTTGACCAACAGGAGCATCCGCGATTCACCAGGTAAGAGTCGTCTTATGTCTCAAGTACCATGCTTACAAATACAGTTAATTTTCATTATATTCACTGATTGTGGTTTAACCAGGAAGGGGCAGGACCTGGTAATGTCTATGGAGCTGCAGTTGGTCGAGGCTTTGTGTGGTTTTCAGAAACCTGTTCAAACTCTTGACAATAGAACCCTTCTGATCACCACTCCCAAAGGTACAATAATACAATGACCTGTTATGTACATAAACAGTTTGTAGGTTGTGCTAATCAAAGGGCTTTCCCTCAGGACGACTGATTAAACCTGGAGACACTAAATGTGTCCTGAATGAAGGCATGCCTCTTCACCGTAGACCTTTTGAAAAGGGATGTCTTATTATCAACTTTTCTGTAAGTATTTCAAACTTTGTATATTACTTATTTTTTGTTTTTGGTGGAAGTAACATTTCTGTTTGTATTAGGTTGTGTTTCCACCAGCAAATTTCCTCCCTAAGCAAAAACTGAAGGAGCTGGAGCGTTACTTTCCTCCAAAGAAAGAGGCTGAGCAGCCTGAGATGATGGATGATGACTTATATATTTACGCAGACTTGGAGGAGTGTGACTTTGAAAACAGAAGAAGGCGCAATAGCCACTATTACTATGTGGATGATGACGACTATGCAAGTGGGGGAGGGGTCCAGTGTCATACCTCTTAAATCACCAGTTTATTAAAGAGCCGTAAGTGTTGACAAAAGCACCTTTTAACATATTGAACATAATTGTCTTTTGATCTTGTTTTTGAAACTTTTGTCAGATCCTAACAGCTATTTCATAACACGTTGATGTTATGAATGTTATTGTAATTGTTCTTTGTGAGAGCAAAGCGTAATTACATTCTAAGGACTATTCTTAAATCTAAATTAGGTTTAGTGTAGTTTTATTTTATCTTCTTACACTGTGATACAAGTGGTCTATGTTCAATAGACTTCTCAAAAATCACTTGAGCAGGGCTGTTGCTTTGTTATTCTTTTATCCAGTATGTTGCATAAAATGTATGTCAATATTAATATTTAAATTATTGTATGATAATGTCAATGCATAATTGTGACAGATGTTAAGCAATGCAATTTGATGTGAGGGTTAATTTTGTTTTCAAGGATTTCTGCTGTTGTGTCATTATAGGGCTGCAAATGAATAACAATCATCTTAGAACAGTGTAGGTCAGAACCAGATCTTTTGTCTTTTGTTTCAGCTGTTTTATATTGTTTTGCCAAATTATTTATTCCAGTAATGTATCTTGGAAGTATCGTGAAAATCTTGCTGACCCTTTTTGGGCCTTTTTTCCGTGTCTATGCTACAAAGGACCAAAAGTTTCATTAGTGTTGTTAACTGCTCAAAAGCCAGTGTTTACCTGGTGCCTTGTTTAAAATTGTTAATATTAAATGTTAGTGCTTCAGTCAACAAATATGCCAAGCCACTATAATGTTTTTACTATCAAGATTGTTTATAACGTTAAATATTGTTATAATGTTATCTCTTGCCCATTAATAATTCACATTTTTTATAATGGCATGCAAACTACTGAGTGTCTGTCTACTTTTCTTGCCCCAGCTGCCAAATAAGCATTGCTCTGGGACCCTTGTGTCTTGTTTTGAAGCATTGTTATCATTTAAGGTTGAAAAAAAAAATCATAGTTTATAAGTTATGTAAAATTTTACCTTTATGCAACAATTGTATTTGTAATTAATGACCTTCTAAATAAATTCTGCCTAATGTCTTGTTTTCAAAGTCTACAACTACAACTCATTCCAAATGGTTTACTTATCAACATTTGTGTTCATTTTTCACACTTTGTATATTGTCAATTTGACCAAACTCAGTGCCTACTTCATTAGCAAGGACCACACTACAACAATGGAATGTGATAAAGATATTTATTGACGATAGAGGTGATGGATGGGGTCACTGTCTCAAGTGGTCAGTCCAGCCAATAGAGCTGAGATAGGCGATGTTTTCATGATAGGCCTGTATAAATAGGGCTTCTGGGTAACTGAAGGTATGGTTGAGCTGAGCTGTGGTTGGTTGGAGAGGAGCAGAGGGAGGCTGAGGCGTGGTCCTGCTCCTGAATCTCAGTCACCACTTAATTTAGTATTGAAATAAATGAGTAAATATAGCATCTGATAAAAGCATCAAGGTCAGGTGGTGACATTTACACAAGTTGATGTTTTAATAAAAACGTGTTTCTCTGAGTAGTTTTCCAATGTCATACTTTTACTTCTACTGGAGTAATACATTTTACAAAATAACAGTACACCTAAATATATGTTTTAGTTACTCTTCCCATTTTGAGTAAGTCTACACAAGAGAAGCTTTATGTCGACAATAAAGAGCATTAGAGCCTGCATGTTTTTTGGACTGCGCCTTCAGACATAATTTAGATTTCCATATTTTGGTGGTCTACTCTGAAATTTTCAGATTTGGGGCATTATCTGATGTGCACATATACATGATCTTCAGTTTTTTTTAAAAACAGTTGTGTTAGACACTGCAATTAATCTTACTTGAGTAGTTTTTCCAAATACTTCTTTACTCTTTCTTGGACCATTCTTGGTACTTGAGCAATAAACTCTTAATGTAGGCTGACTAGACTTCGGTGTTTATCCACAACTGTTAATTCCAGTTTTGAGGTCTGTGTCAGTAGATTTATTCAAAACCATTTGTCCCAGTTTTACACAAGAAAGGTTCCAGGTGTCCCTATTTTTGATCCATTTGATCTAAATCAGGACTAAACCAAACCAGGTCTAACCCAGGATTAAACCAGGTCTGAACCAGGACTAAACCAGTATTAAACCAGGTCCTTATTTTTGCCCTACACTGAAAAAAAAAAGTTGCTGGATTTGCGTAAAAAAGTTATGGACAGCGGTTGCATGCAATAAAATTATGTTAAGGCTTTGAAACTTTTTTCGAACCCCTCTACACATATTTTTCTCGGAACATGAACATAACTTTTTCATGTTGATGAAATTTGAACAAATCATGCTGAATATGCATATTTATCTTATGGTACCTTATCATGAAATGTATAAGTATGTATAATTTAATTTAATTGATCTAATTCTGTAAAAGAATACAAAAACAGTCTTTAGTTTTCCACAGTTCTGTATTGTCTTAAACAGAATCAAACACAAAAGAGAGCACAGGGACAGAGATACACAGTTTGGAGCTGGACAGTGTGAAGATTTATTCCAGTGAAGCTCTGGTCTCTGTGGACACAGAATAACACATGATGATCACATTCTGATGATCTACTCTGTTGTACATGTTTAAATACACTTAAAGTACTTATTACTACAATAACGGACCAGAACAGAACAAGAACATTAGAAGTGTATCTGCAGAAACAAAACTCACCATGTGCTGCTTTTCTTCCTCTAAACACAGTAACAGGGAGGGCATCTGGTATAAAGTCTCCTAATGCCACATCACCTTGTACAAGTATGATAACAGTTTCAATAGGAAGTTCATTTTGAAAAAAATTTAAATAATTTTAGTTGGTTTACTTACTTTGTTCATCTGTGGTCTGTGTTTTGTTGGTTCTCAAACATCTTCCTTTTTTCTGAAACATCAACTATAACATTCATGAACTTCCCCACAGCTCCAGCAGATCTCTGGACGTCACTCTTTGTAGACGACTCTGGAAGCAACACATTCAAATCTTAGTACAAGTGTCACACTCTTGTAGATGGACAGTCAAAAACAATTTGTTTCAAGCTGTCCTTACATTAACTCTAATTTCAAATAAAACAACACAAACATGTTTTAACAATGACGACATTCTAGGCCGGAGAAGCACATAATAAAATCTTTGAAAAGTCTCACCTCCAGATCAGCTCTCATAATCCTCCTGCTCCACACTGTGTGTCCTCTGCTCATCTAACTGTCCTGTGTCCTGTTACATTAGAATTTTCCCTCCAAAAGTTTTGGGGAGGAGAATTCCAGAGGGAGGAGCCTCACTAGAGATTATAATAAAGTCATGTTTCCTCAACCTGATTAAAACATGCAGGTCTCACATCGGCCACAATCAAGCGATGTTTGTAAGATTTAAACATGCTTGACAGAGAAACGTAAAAAAGTGATGTTATTGTTGTCAAATTTGTTTTTGCAATTTGAGCAACCCCTCTCGGACCGTTTTTTCAGTGTATCTGATCCATACCAACAGTATAGAGGAGCATATTTGTTTAGATAAAATACAGACACTGTGCTTGAAAATGACCGTAAGGAAAAACAATGCACTGCCAGGAGTCCCTCAGATTATGACTGACACAAGTGAGTCGAGAATTTATTTATTTATACGAACCCTCCCAACCCGGGTGTATCCCAGTTTTGAATTTAAAAAATCTGGTCACCCTACTCTAATGGCATGTACTCCAAGTTAGTTTAGTTAGTTAAATAGATTTAAATAGATAGAGAGATAGATAGAGCACAATTCCACGGGGTTTGCTGTCCAGATAAAATGATTTTATTGTTTATTATGCACACCGATTGACAGGTGATGGTACAGCTCCAGTGAGGTTTATTGTCATGCATATTTCATAATCATAAGAAAGTTCGTGTAGAGCCACATTAAGACACTGCACTGAGGTAGCATGCAGATACACAGAAAACAAAACAGTAGTACAAAAGTATTTCACCACCATAACATCCCACAAGAATTGCTATTTTGGATTTGCTCCGACATGAAGAGATAAACTGTTCTTCACTTCCCCCGTCAGTGGTTACAAACAAATTTAAAGGGCCTATATTACACGATTTTCTGATCTGTTACAATGCTGTTTCCTCATCAAAAACATACCTGGAGTTGTGTTTTGCTTCATTCACACATGTTTAACACACAAACCCCGCATATTTAGTTCTTCTCTCAAACTGAAAACACTGTTCCACCTTGTGATTACATGTGGTAATACAGGAAATGCTCCATTGTGTTTTTAAACTCCATACATCATCACTAAAAACATTTGTATAATTTCAGCCCTTGAATTGTCAAACTCTACTGAACTAAAGGTAAAAGTTGGCTGTTAACTTGAAAACTACCACTTCATGGCTTCACAAGGTGTAACAGAGCATTTTGAGCGTTAAAGATGACTAATAATAAATGTGAATAAAACAAAACGCAACTGTGGTTACGTTTTTGATGCAGTAACAACATTTTAACATGGCTCAAAACTCACAAGAGTCAATGTTGTGTAATACAGGACCTTTAACCACAAATATAAAAATAAACAACAGGAGTTTGCTGCACTGTAACTGCTTCGCTATGGGCAGTGTTAGTTCAAAGGAAGAACGGGAAATGTCAGGTTGTTTTTGACATATACATTAGTAAAGTTATTACTAAACAATGCCTTTGAGTTGCCCTTTGAATGGACATAAATACATATGCCAGTCTCACAGATGACAGTTCAAGGTTTCCACAGCCTCAAGAGACCGTCCTCACTAAAGGTGGCGATCAGACTCTCGTGTGGGTGGTGAGCGATGCCAATTACATCCTTCTCGTGAACCTGTAGATAAAAAAAGAGGAGCAAAATGTCACGCTTCACTGTCTAATTTCTAGCTCATCCTTGCACTGATGTGGATCTGTAGGTTTAGAATAGGCCTGTCATGATAATGAAATTCGTAGCACAATATATTGCTACACAACAATTGAAACTGTTTTATGTCACTGACACAAAGCAAGATAATCCCAGTAAACCAATTTTTCAAGAGACAGTGTCATTAGAAAGGCCTGAGCTACAACAAATAAACAGCAGAATGAACTGATAATTAGCAATAGAAGTTATTTATTCTACTCTCTACAGCTCAAATCTTATTGTATTACATACAAATGGCTAGAACCTCTTGGCCTGATCCATCAGCCGGTTTCACTTCATGGAAAGAATCTCACCTCGCAGCATTTAAGGAGTCGTTCGCTCGATGGTAGGCAGGTAAATTTTTTATTTAAACAATCACTGCTAACTGGTATATTAAGCTTTTCCCAAATCCCGTAGGAAGAAGGGCAATAAAGTCTTTCCCCTTGATAAAATTCACCAAACATTTTCTTCGTTCCGGCTTTAAATCCTCGATCTCGGGAATCATTGCCATCACAGAATGCATGTCTCTTCGCTGATTGGCTGGTGCCCGAACTTGCACTTCTAAGGTTCTTGCAAACCATCTAGTGTATTCTGATCCCTGACCTAGTCGCTGGAGAGAAATGAAATTGAGCTGCGGCAGTAGGTGGTGCCAGCCTCGCTAAGAATCTCCACTCTTGCAAAGACAAAGTACCAACAATAAATATTCATCCCCAAAATATATTGCTGAACGATAAGTCAGTATCAAATTATCATGCCAGGCCTAGTTTAGAGTGTTGGGAAGTAATTGAATTAATGTACTGAAAATACACATTCTGAATACTAATTTTAGTTTGGTCGAACTGTGTTGTTTTTAAAGTGCGTTATCAGGTTGCAGTAGAGGTTTTCAGTAACTGTATTCTGGTACAAATTGGTGGTATTCAGAAGTCAGTTATTTTTCTAAAATCAAAGAAATAACTAGTTGTACCTGACCACACAATTCAGGCTTCAAACTGCACAATATTATACAGAGATGAGGCCTGTGTGATTTTTCCTTCTCCAATTAGTGATAAATAAATGCATAACAAACTGTCAACCAAATATAAAGCTCTGTTTAATCCTATGTTGTATTTTTACGCTATAATCTAAATGCAACTTGATTGATTCATTTAGAATACAGTACTCTGATTGAACCTTGTATCAGAATATATTTTAAAGCAGGTATTCAGTATTCTGCAACTAAAGACATTTTCAAAGTTTTCTTCCCATCATTGTACAATTATGATCAAAATAAGTAGCCGGACGACCTTGGCTGATCAGGTTCATGTAATAAAAAATAGCATTAGGTGGGCAGATCTTACGGTCAGTGTTTTCTCCAGTCTTCCTGTGGTGTAGCTGAAGCAATAGAGCACCAGGTCCTCCCCCACACAGTAAATCCACTCTCCACGGGGAGACACAGTGCAGCAAACAAACCCAGCGCCTTCCTTTCTGTCTGCACTGAAACTTTTTATAGTCTGAAGAAAATAGTGAAAATGTTTAGAAACTTGCACAAGATTTTGAAAAATTTTGTATTTAATTTGACTTTATATTTTGAGTATTTACTTGTCCGCGCAGGTTCATGATGACAACAGTGCTGGAGTGATTGCAGACCACAAACTCATCTGGTTTTTGTGGCAGAGGAATCACATTGTTGACTGGGACTTCAGATGTCAGTGATTTATATGTGTGGACACAATCACATGTTTTTGTGCTCCAGACCTTAAAGTGATGAAAACTATGATTAACAGAGTATGCCACTGTAGAAATAAATAAACTCTGTGAATGTTTTGCATAATTGTGACACATAAACAAGGAATCAGGTGGTAAAACCAAAATAACACATTAATTTTAAAGATCCTATATTATACAAAATTCATTCTTATGAGCTTTAAGCCATCAAAAAGATATCCAAAGTTGTGTTTTGTTTCATTCACATATATTTGGGTGACACTGCATTATTAGTTTGTCTACAAAATGCTCAAAATGCTCTGTTCCACCTTGAGATGTCATGTAGTGGTAGTTTTCATGTTAACAGCTATTTTTTAACTTTTGTTCAGTAGAGATTGGCAATTCCAGGTCTGAAATGATCCAAATGATTCTAGTGAAGGTGTATTAAGTTAAACAACACAGTGGAGCACTTCCTGTATAAATACATGACATCACAAGGTGGAACAGAGTGTTTTTTTTGTTTGAGAGAAGATCCCAATATCTCATCTTAAATATGCAGGTGTGAATGAAACAAAACACACCTCCAGGGATGTTTCTGATGAGGAAACATTATAACATAGATCAGAAAATAGCATAACATGGGTCCTTTAAAATATCGGTTTAAATTTTAAGGGGAAGCTTCAATTGTCCTTCTATTTGGTTTGTATTTGCTAATGTTTACCTTAACAGTGCCATCTGATGAGGCACTGATTATGTGAAATCCATCTTGTGTGAAACATGCGTCGTTTACAAATGATGTGTGCCCATTTAGCTCCTTAAGTGTCTTTCCTGACCTCAGCTCATGGATTCTGTGAGACATAATTAAGAGGGATAACATGGCTAATCCCATTCCCACACTGTAGAGAGAGATACATTTATATCATACTCCATACAACTGCACAACAACTCACCCTTATGTAACAGATAACCCTATGTCAATCACTATTTCATCTTTGTTTCTCCTTACGATCTTTTTTTATTTTTAATTGTACATTTACATTTATATAATTATGCCTTATTTGACACTTGTCTCTTGCTGTTTTTGCTACTTAATTTGAATGTATTATTACCGTTTATAGTTTTGCTCTTTGTTATTAAATTGTATTGTCATGTGTCCAAATCATTTCCATTGTCGATCAATACAGTTTGACTAAATCTAAGTCTAAATCTAAGAATAACCAACAATTACAATATATCGAATTACAAGTCACTTAATTCATTGTTATGGTGTAGCAACAGCTAAAAAACCATGATCCTTTGCTCTATTTCAGTCCAATCTACATGATGAAAATACATGATGAAATAACTGTTACTAAGCAGTTTTAAATCTAAATTATTTTGGATTATGACAGAAAACTACATTAATCACAGGTTTTTTGCTTCCACAATATATCATATTAAATATCATATTGTGAGATTTGGAGAGTGGTGGAAGGTAACAAAGTAAAAGTAGTAAAGTAATGCACTTAAGAATAAATTTTAGGTATCTGCACTTTACTCAAGTGTATTTTAAAGTGGATACTTTTTACTTTCTGCTCCACTTTCAACAGGACTAAAAAGTGACATTATTTTTTTATTATTATCTGAGATCTGAGACCTGCTGAGGGACACATTTTTAACACATTAATAGTTTGAGCAAAAAAAAAAGGATCAATTCGGTTGTTTTTTTTTGAACAAAATTCAGCATAAATCTTTATTAAAAATCACTACAATTTAAGCTTCATTAGATCTTAGAATCTGTTCAAAATACTTTTACTTTTTACTCATTAAGTACATTTTTAAAGTAGATTTTTCATGTGATACTTTTACTTGAGTATTTCTTGACTCTGGTAACTGTACTTTTACTTAAGTAACTAAATTGAGTACTTCTTCCACCACTGGATTTGGATATCGTTACATCTCTCCTGTCCACTGGATTTCTTCTTCAAAACACGAGAATCTGTTGCTGTGCAGGTGGGTGGTGTTATTTTTAGCATCTGCGGATTGACTTCACGGAGCACAGACTCAAGAAACCGTGACAAAAGCCTGATGCTCTGAGTGAGTCTCTGGATCATTTTGCATTGTAAACATTTCCATTGGAACGCCCAGAACACGTTGTCTCTGTTCCTGCGCACATGGCATCTCCTCTGCGCCCACACAGCAGCATGTGCCCACCCCAGCCCCCGGCACGCAGTCACGGTCTACTGTATCTTCAAGTCTTTGGATTATACCACAATATTGTATATATTATGTAACACGATGTCTGACTTGGTAATGTTTGCATGTCCTTATGCTATCTTGAGGCTACAATGTTGTAAGATTTATATTTGTGTTTATTCCCTGCAGTAATGCCTCCATAATATTAAATTATATCAACGATTATGCTAATATGACTCAGGCACAGTTCAGTGCAGTTCAACAGATCTAGAAAACAAACAGAAACTGTAAACAAATAGTTGTATTAGTGTATTTTAGTGTATTCTCAATGTAGTTAGCTCTTCTTTTCAGGCAGATATTAGGCAGTGTCCACCAGCATCTGACCAGAAACGAAGAAGCAGCTTGTATGAAGTAATTTTTCTTTTGCTATGGGTCTTACCTAGCCTGATTCATCAGCTGGTTTCACTTGGAAACCGTCTGACCTTGCAGCATTTACTGCTATTTGGTCGTGATGTATGTAAGGGCAATAAGAAGGGAAGAAGGGCATGTCTTTCCCCTTGATAAAATTCACCAAACATTCTCTTTGTTCAGGCTTTAAATCCTTGATCTCAGGAATCATTGACAACATTGAATATATGTCTCTTCGCTGATTGGCTGGTGCCCGGACTCACACTTCGGGGTTTTTGGAAACCGTCTAGTGTATTCCGATTCCTGACCTAGTCACTGGAGAGAAATGATATTGAGCGGAGGCACTAGGTGGCGCCAGCCTGGCTAAGAATCTCATATTCATATTCAGTGTTGTCACCGAGTCCCTAGATCGAGGATTTAAAGTCAGAATAAAAAGAATGTTTGGTGAATTTCATCAAGGGGAAAGACGTTATTGCCCTTCTTCCTATGGAATTTGGGAAGAGCTTAATATACCAATTAGTCCCGTTAGTGGCGCGTTACATACATGACTACCAAATAGCAGTGATTGGTTAAATGATAAAAAGTACCCGCTTACCGTCAAGGGACCAAATTCTAACACTGTGAGGTCAGACGGTTTCTACGAAGTGAAACCGGTGGATGAATGAGGCTAGGTGGCACCAGCCTGGCTAATTCTTACCTGGATGGCTGTGGGATTACACAGACAACCTTTATAATATCTGTTGGTGAATGGAACTATTTTTGAGAGCGTAATAAAAATAGTAGTTAATTTGTCATACACATAAATAGCACATAAGGTAAAATACAAGACAATAAAACTGAAGAATATTGCAAAGCCTTCAATTTGAATATTTATAATAAACAATGGTTAAACTTCATTATGATTGTACTAAACCTTTTTCTTTTTGCATTAGCTTTTTAATTTGGTTACTTCTGCTGTGGGCAGTGCAAGTAACCAAACTGAACTCTGGTTCTCAGCTTTGCGAATGCCAATTTGAAACTAAAATGAATCATGGCTAGAGTCAGTAAAGTAAAGTTTCTTCCGCCCACAAAACAAAACTTAGAAAGTAAAAGCATAGCTGCTGCTCTTGTAAAACCCTGTTGCTCATGTACCTGATGGTCTGGTCGAATGAGGCGCTCAGGATGTGGTTACTGTCCTTGGAAAAGCTCAGACAAGTGACGCCTTTGCTGTGCGCATGTTCAAACCTGCGCACGCACAAACCACTCTGGATCTTCCAAATCTTTTTACAAGAAAAAAAAAAAGTTATTTAAAACTGATAAAATGAATTGATGTCTTCTTCACATATTCACCAACCTTAATTTTTCCATTCTGCGCTCCAGTGGCCAGTATGTCTCCATCTGGACTGAAACACATGCACAGTACGGCTTCATCCATCATCATGAAGCTGTCTTGTGCCTGGTATTTTAGATCCTTAATGACACATAGAAAGGAGAGATTAAATTGAATTACCACTTATATTATTATATTTGGTTAAGCTTTTATAATTGCTCTATGAGGTAGTTTGAAAAAATGGTTACTTTGCTTATATTCCCTGTGATGTAATTCCAAACTTCAACAAATCCGTCCACTGACCCAGTGACCAGGTATTTCCCGTCCGGAGAGAAACGGGCGCATTCCACATGAGACCTCCTCCCAAACTATAAAATTAAAATCATTCATTCAGTTAGTTTCTTGTCATAGTTGTGTTTAATTACTAGTATATCTGTCATGAAGTGTTACCTTGATGTGGCGGTATAGTTGTGTTGGATAACTCTCCTCTTCCACAGGCTCATTGTTTGGGGAATGAAAGCCCATATCTGGGGAGAGATGCCCCTGGTACTGTCGGACTCTCTGGGTCTAGATGGAAGTTTGGCACGTTATTTATGTTATCTGAATAATATCTGAATAAATTATGTGATTGTGAAAACTGAAAATCACTTAGATCATGGTCATACTGTGGTCCAAAGCAAAAAAAAAAGATCTGACGAAGGCATTTTTGACGCAATGTTATTTAAAAAAAAAACAAAAAAAAAACTTTTGGACATTGACCACCTGATTGTGCTATGCATTTTTTCACTTTTATAGTGCCAGACCTAAACCCAGGTAAATGAAGAAACCATAGCTAGACCTAGTCCTGTTGTCTGTTGTAAAGAAATAAACCTTTTTTGTATTTCATATCTCCCCAGGCTTCGCAAATTGATTAATTGTTATATTCACGAGATATACATTGTTTCCAGAAAAATAACTGAGTACCTCTAGTTTTACTGCTAGTTTGGGTTATATTTTATGAAACTTTATGAAACTTTATGAAGTAAGAAACTGTAGCCTGTAATTAACACAGGCCAGTGCATTTCTTACATAACCTTTACCGTCCACATAATTGACTTACTATAACATTTCATACTCACACCAACTTGCTCCAGGAGTCCTATAAGCCGCGATGGAGGCACCACACACACCTCCTTCACCATGGCCTCAGCGATTGCCCTTCTTCTCTTCTCTTTGCTGCTTCCCTTTGGGTAGGCCTGCAGTTTAAACAGCACTCAAATATCACAGCTCCACTCTCGTCTGAAAACAGGGATCATTTTACCCTCTTACCTCTCTGGGGTCGAAGTAGGTGCATGTGAGGAGGCTTTCCAGATGCTTGTATCTTTCAGGTTGAGTTTGTTTGAGCATGATCATAGGGTCGGTCTGTTTGAGGAGAGAGCGAGCTGCCCCCATCTCCCTCATCTCAATCAGCTCCATGACAACCTGTTGAATATATAGCATTTCATTTCAGTCATTTGATTTATTTGGTCAGTGTATAACTCATTACACTTTACATACATTATATTCAGTCTAATGCCCATAAAATGAAACATATTAATACGTAGAACTTCAAAATCAAATCAAGTAAGTCAATGATCAGGTGTAGGCAGGAGCTAAAGCTTATTGTACCTATACTTATACTTAGATTAATTCACACACGTTTAACACACAAACCATTCATATTTATATACGGTAGGGGTCTCCAACCTGTAGCTACCAGTAGCTCTCCACCCCCTTACAAGTAGCTCGCCAAAGGATTTCTGACTTATACATACTGCACTTAAATAACTCAAATATGATTAATTACTATTGTATATGTTATTTTGAACTTTGTGCACTAATAAATGGATACTTGTTTAATGTTTTATAGGCATCTAACTGTACATTTAAGGCTTGCCGTCTTATATCAGATCAAGTTCTTGTAAACGCTGAAATGAGTAGCTCTCCAACATTTTCATTTTGTAAAGGTAGCTCACTGGACACAAAAGGTTGGAGATTCCTGATATACACACTGAGTGCTCCACATTGTGATGTCATGTGGAAATACTCCACAAGTGCTCCACCGTGTTTTTAAACTTCATACACCTTCACTAGAATAATTTGGATGAATTCACCCCTGCAATTGCCAAGCTCTACTAAACAAAGGTAAAAGGTAAAAGAAGCTGTTAACGTGAAAACTAATACTACATGACATCACAAGGTGGAAAAGTGCATTTTGAGCTTTGTAAACTAATGATAAAGGTTTACTCAAATATGTGTGAATGAAACAAAATGCATCTCCAGGTATGTTTTTGAGGAGGTCACAACATTATAACATGGCTTAGTCACAGTGTTTTGAAGATACAGGACTACTCACACTGGTATCAATGACAAATATGTTTTTAATGGGGGAATGACATGGTAGAAAGCTATTAAAAAAAAACAAAAAACTTTAGTTATCATTGCCTTACCTGCTCATATAGATCAATGAGAGTGTTGTCTGGCAGCTTGAGAGATTCAATGGCGAGCAGAACCGAGTCCCAGTGGCCGTTGTTTATGTCGGCCACAAAGCTGTCGATGCTGTCCACTGTGTTCAGAGAGACCGTGGTTTCCTCCTGTAACGTGTT